GGTTCTGAAGATTTTAGAGCTTTGTTCCATTGCTTGACTTCCTCAACGGCATCACTGAAGTTGGCCGGTTTTCGTGATACGGGAGCTTCGGTCCGGCGACATCCTGTGATCCAAGCATGACGAAGTAGTTTTCGAGCAGATACACGGAGGTTAGGGTCTTTTTGGAAGCATTGCATTAAGAAATCTCGGGCAGCCTGGTGGGATTAACAAGAAAGCATCTAAGGAACAAACTAATACTTACTGCAGAGATGCCCTCGGGTAGTGGGGGGTGGTCGTCGTTGACAATTGCGAACAGAGCAGGCATAGCAGCCAAGTTGTGATATGGAGGCTTGCCTTGAAGGAGTTCGATGACTGTGCAGCCGACACTCCAGATATCAGATGCAGAACTCGCTCCAGAAAGCTGAATGATCTCGGGGGCCATCCAATAAGGTGTCCCGACAACCTGTGCCTCTTTGTCCTGGCCACCAGCAAGCGTGCTGGTAGACACTCCGAAATCTGCGAGTTTCACTGTGCCATCTTTTGTAGTGAGAATGTTGGCGCCTTTGATATCTCTGTGTATAACACCCTGCTCGTGCAGGTACTGCAGTCCCTGTAAGACCTGCGTCATGTAAACCCCGACCAGATTCTCAGGAAATTTGCCGTACGCCTTGCAAATCGAGTGCAGGGAACCATTTTCACAGTATCTAGATTCTTTAGTTTCATAATTGTAAAAGGTAGCACAGAATCGTACTCAAGAATGATGTTAAGACAGTCATCGGATTTGACGAAACCAATGTACTTGACGATATTGTCATGCTACTATTATTAGCCTTCATAATCGATGCGCAGAGCGAATGTTCCTACATGAAGGTTCTTGAGGAGATCGATTTCACTCTAAACAATATTCACACATGTCAGCTTATTCAAATCGCATGGTAAAGCACAGGATAGCTGATTGGCAACCCACCTCGATCATGCGCAACTCACTCTTGGGCAGGTCAGCGAGTTTTATCTGCTTTACAGCAACTGCCTCCCCATTGCCCCAGTTGAAAGCTTTATATACGGATCCGAAAGCACCTTTCCCAAGGCATTCACCTAAGCGCTGAACAAAAAAAGTATGTTAGCTACCATTTTTGCGAAATCCTGCTCCCATCACGGCAGAAACCCGGCCGTTCAGGTACCAGCGACATCGGCAACAAGGTAATACGAACATAATCTTTTAGACCTGGGTCTTGTAGGGCAGAGCTCTCTCGAATCTTCTCTTTCCGTGAAGGTGTGCCAGGCACAGATCGCTCGCGAGAGGCCATGGCGGGACGGCCATTGCCATGGTACTGCCGCTCGGGCACCATCTCTCAATAACTCCCTAACTTCAATGATGTTCGACTTGGATCGTGACCAGCTGAATTATGCTTCCTCGAGGATAGCAGAGGCAAGCGGCGGAGGATTGACGAAGTTTAGGCCCGGACAAAGGTGTCATTTCCCAACGAGGATCGAGTCAAGGGAGCGGAATGACGCAAGGCGGTTCGTTTCTACATACGAAGCCGGTCGGGTTCGGTTATCGAGCTCTCGCAGTCGAATATGATACTGTTGTTGATACCTGGATCCAGGTAGGGCGTGCACCTTGGGCTCGCTAAAGAGCCTGGTCGACCGTCGTCAGCGTGCGGAATCGATGATTGAGAGGGGAGCGAGGGAGCCCGTTCGCTTCGGTTCGTGGGATCGCTAACAGGGTTAAAAGAAGGACAGGGCGAACAGCAAGCGAATTAATGGTGTGTCTGTTGCTGGAGAAGGAAAAGAAAATGGAAGGGTTAATGAAAAAAAGAAAAAAGAAAAAAAAAATAGAGGTCTGGAAGGTAAGGAAGGACTGTAGCAATGCACTGCGCTGAACCGCATGCAACTGACTGGGCGGAAATTTGGACCAAAACCAACGGATCTCCAATCAATCATGCGCGCTTGGGAGGGACTCGAGTTGTTGTTTCTTGTCTCGCAACCTAAGCTAAGCACACCACTGTGACAGACCCATTCAATGGAAAGCTGTGCCTGGGGTTAATGGGTACTAACCTACCGGTACTGAACAGCGTGGTTCGGCTGCTGACGGCGGGGGATTAGGGATGTTCGGAGGGCCCGTGCCGCCTGTAATCAACGCCCTGGCTGCCCGCGCTTACAACCTGGCTGCTTGCAGGGCTAATCCCCCCACTAGCTCGCTTCTGGTCTACAGTTATCCATCCACAGTTGAGCAGCATCAACAACACAGCAATCCATGCGTATTGGTGTCCATTCCATGTTCTCTAGGAGAAAAAGATGCAAAAACCTCGATGATGATGTAAATCTCGATTGTGAACTTTGAAACCAAGAGAAAATTTTATTCGGGTTGTTTTGGAATACCCAACTTACAAGGCTTATCCTTCTTTGAAACAGCTCATGCTTGCTCATGTCATCCAATCTAAGGCAAGACACGACGACGCATGGATGCTTTCAGACACTGAAGAGTATTTTATCCAAGCCAAATGCAACTGTCCGTTACTTCCGTTGAGAGGTACTACACCTTAACCAGTGTCAGATGTAATTAAAAAAAAAAAACAGAACAAAACCTCGGGATAAAAAAAAACAATGTGCTCACAGCATACTCTGCCTGAAACGCACGCCTCACCGTTAGCCAAGTCTGAAGGAATGTTATAATCTATAACTCATCTACTTGTAGACTCACCCGTGAATCAAAGTCTCTAAACATCCCGGGTTATCACTCTTTCAGCCTGTATCTACGACGCATCAATTACTGCTTGTGTCAAAAGATCGATTTCCCACCTATAAGCGGAAACAATCAACAACCCTCCAAACCAAAGACTTCAGCCCAGCCTAATATCATTAAACCCAATCGAAAGAGTGTCCCCTGCTCGCTTTTCGTCGAGTCTTGCCACTAATGCGTCTCATCCTGATCCCGGGTACAAAGAGAGCAAGGTCAGGCAGGCCAGGACTACCAAGGTTCTCCGATCTGCTGGCTGGCTGCCTGCTAAGTTGAGTTAGGTTTATCGTCTTTTGACAAGGGCAGGAGGTATGTTGTCGTACCTCGCCGACGATCTATATCGTGCACGGAAGTTCTCGTTTCTTGGTTTGCATGTGAGCTGAAATTGCAACTCATTTCCGTTCAAAGCGCGCATTACGTGACGCTGGCATGACGACGTCTTGCAACCTTCATTCTTCAACTACAGTAGCAATCGTCAGGGTATCAGAAAAATTGGTCGCTAGGAACATAAGGGACGAAATTAGTAGGTCAGTTTATGCTACTTAGATCAGACTTCTTAGGTTGTTTATTTTTGTACCCTAAAGGTTAGAGGCTAACTTTTCTGATGCCTGCTAGGTAATCCAGACATCCTACTCCAAGCACTGAGTGATCTCAATCCATGGTACTTTCTCTGAGGGCTAAACACAAAGACTAGCGGTTCTGTCTATGAACAATTCCTCAACTTGCCCAAGTCTAACAGCCTAACAGCGGAATCAGGCCTGCCCACAGCACTCAAGTACCTTATAGCGATAAGGAGGGTGTGTGCTACCCGAGTCCGTAGTGAGTAGCGATTAGAATATATAAGGATTGGTTTTCATGGTGTGGTGTGGTGCTATAGAGGCTCTTTGATCGTCTGAGAAGAATTTCTTGTACGTCATATCCTTGTTGATTGAACCGTCGGCAGACTGGAGACAGTCATGCTTTTGGATAAAACTGTGGACTTCCCTCCATTTCTCTAAAGTCTTGCTTGTAGGTCCCAATTGTTGGACTTCAACTTGGCTCGTGTATCTTGGCGCATGTATTATCTTTCTCGTAAATGCCTGCCTCAAAATCCTCGCGGGATCTTTTTTTTCCGAATCCATCGCTCCCATTACTTTATCGGATCGTAGAGCGAATTCTGGAGTGGCTTTATGCGATAGTACCATTTCCTGTCATTGGAGATGAACCGTTAGAAGTGACAAATTTGGCTGCCACTAGGCTTTCGAAGTATCCTACCCGTTCCAGTGTTGCTTCCGCCTCTACTACGTATATAGACTCCCCGGATGAAAGTGAGGTATAACGACTATTGCATATTCAATGACTGGGATCTTCACTGTTGGTAGCCCGACTTTCTTGAAGAACCTGTATTTAAATTAGAGATTGAAATATGGTAGTAGTTCAGACATACGGATCCGGTGGGAAACTTCCTCTCGTTGACTGTATTAGCCAAGCATAAACTTGGTGGCCAAAGGCTATCGCAACCAAAGGTCTAAATGTTTAATGATATCTAACCATGAGTCGGATAGTTCCTCAGCTGAAGTCAGTTGTGGTATTGAAGCCAGGAATAGGAGATACTAACTGAACCGCTTCTACTGGCCAGTCCAGGAGCTGGTTGAAATTGGCTATTTCTTCCAAGAACTTGATTGAAGTATTCAAGATATGCGTTTAGGATGAAGCCATAGAAGTTGGGATACTCCTTACCAGACCATTTGAAGCTCGCTTGCCGTTTAGAATCCCGGCGCTATCGTGAGAAATCCGAAGAACGAAATTATATATCGCTCAATATGATCAGTTGCGCAAAAGAAGAGCCAGCAAGTCGGCGGACGGGACCTCTCCACAGTAATGTTGTATCATTGGAAAGCTTGCCGCTCTACTTTTTGACGCCATGTTGTTCTCGCGGATCGTGATGTTAACTCCGAATATATACTAGAAATGCTAGAAACCCGAGCAGATTGTATAGGATGAATAATTATAGTTAACCTTTAATTCGTTCTAAAGAGCGAAATAGAAATGAAAAATCACCAGTGTAAAAATGTCAGGTATATTACCAGTTTCCTATAGGTAAATACGGCAGTACTATAGGACTGCCAGGCAATAAGTGAAAGATACATAGAGAGTAGGATGGAAGAAGTAACCTTAGTTTTCTATCTACCACAGAAGAAAGGCCAGACTATATAGGCCTTGAGTTTCTTCTAGGAGGTTCCTCTGATTGTAAGGTATTCGCATTGAGAATTAAGGAAAACATATAACATATAATAGATATTTAACAAGCAGCAATCCAGGCCAGGCAGTAAGCTATCTTGATGGAAACTCTACCCTGTATATTAAATAAAACTTTGGTGGAAAAGAGAACTATAAGCTAAAATTCAAATCAATTATATCAACCAATTAACATGTCAAGATGGCCGAGTGGTCTAAGGCGCTGCACTCAAGATATTGTCTTATCTTACCTGGTCAGCTAGGTCTTGCAGTATCGAAAGATTCTTGGGTTCGAATCCCAATCTTGACATTCTCTTTTTGCCAGATTATCTTTGATTAGTATGTATTGGTTGAAACATATCAAGAAACAGGAGATCTCACAGTATAAAACAATTCAAATGTCAAGATGGCCGAGTGGTCTAAGGCGCTGCACTCAAGATATCGTCTTATCTTACCTGGTCAGCTAGGTCTTGCAGTATCGAAAGATTCTTGGGTTCGAATCCCAATCTTGACATTCTCTTTTTGCCAGATTATCTTTGATTAGTATGTATTGGTTGAAACATCTCACGAAACAGGAGATCTTATGGTATAAAACAATTGTCAAGATGGCCGAGTGGTCTAAGGCGCTGCACTCAAGATATCGTCTTATCTTACCTGGTCAGCTAGGTCTTGCAGTATCGAAAGATTCTTGGGTTCGAATCCCAATCTTGACATTCTCTTTTTGCCAGATTATCTTTGATTAGTATGTATTGGTTGAAACATATCAAGAAACAGGAGATCTCACAGTATAAAACAATTCAAATGTCAAGATGGCCGAGTGGTCTAAGGCGCTGCACTCAAGATATCGTCTTATCTTACCTGGTCAGCTAGGTCTTGCAGTATCGAAAGATTCTTGGGTTCGAATCCCAATCTTGACACTCTCTTTTTGCCTGTTTCCTCAATTACACTAAATAGCATAAACTTATGTGGACAGAGGACGAGTTCCCTGACGCGATTTAATCTTTGGACCGTTAGACCGTTAACGAAAACGTCTTCATACCTTCTCGTATTTTTCACCCAGGGCTCCTGAAAGCAGCATGTAGCCGTTCTGGTGGCAAGGTCCTTCAAGCCACATCAAGATGGGACCTGCCAGGATCTGGATGTGATGTTCATGAAAGCCAGGCTGCTTCATATGCTTATGAAGCGATTGAACAAATAGTATACACAGTAATACAATTCGGGGTCCAAAGATAAGTGCGTCAGTACCATGACTTTCATCAGATTTTCTTGCTGCTCCACGTTGAGCCAATATATAAACGTCCATACAATTATAATACAATCAGTTCCAACCCTGGTTCGCTTTTCCTTTGTAACGCCGTACGCCCTGACTTGTAAGCAGGAACCCCATTCTTTGTACCACCGTTCCAAATCAAATCAATATTGGCTCGTTGGATCCGTCTATTCCGTCCCATCACCAGGCAGCGTTCGGCTGAGGCCAGCCCCAGCCCACCATTCATCGGGAATGTCTTCGCGCCGCGCCATGCTGTGTACGATACGTTGCATGCTCATCCAATCTTCTTCTCTGCTATGCGTGTTGCTTCCAGATGTTGCAGGGTTCTCTCGATTGCGTCTTGTTCGTTCCGGACCTTGCTCGTCATCTGAATTACCGACGGATAAGTGTCCCACCCAAGCTTGACGCGCTCGATTGTAGCCATTGTGGTTTGTGTGATCTCGGATTGATCTAGCGCGCCTCAAACGACCAACCACTGGACCATCCGGAGATCTTTGGTGCCTTGAATCAGAGCTAACTGCACCGCTGTCTCGACCAAACCAATTGTCGAAAGGGCTGTTGAGTTCTGGTCGTACGCCACGTCGCATCTCTTCTCGGCGTCGTCGAATTCGGTTTAGTATGGCTTGCGAACGATCGGGTTCTTCTGTCTCAGACCCCTCGCAGCCAGACTCGCAAGCTTGATCTATTGCTGTATCCTGGGCTGGGTCAGGAGCAGTGAACGAGGTGCCCGAGGTAGCACCTGCACTCTGAGAAGCCATGATTGATGCAAAAGACGAACCTGCGCTCGGCGGTTGAGGGTCGGGGGTGAGGGTAGACAGAAGTGTGTCCCACACCTCAGGGCTGAGGCTCCTTTCGCGGTCACCAAGTCCATCAAAGTTTCGGTTGCGTTGAGTAGCCGATGGCGGCGGGAGTCTGGTTTGGTTCTGACTGGCAAGATTTGCGCGAACCATTGCGCGGTACTCCTCGGCGTTGGACGGAGGACCATGAATCGAAGGCTGTAGCAAGAACGGGGGATATCTTCGAGCCGGGATTTCGTCATTGGGAAACGATGTCACTGCCTAAAATTAAATGTCAATATGAGGTTCGATTTGGAATGGGTACCTCAATGCATCAAAGGATAAACTTACTATCTCATCCCTCAAAGTAGGTGCACCTGCATGGTTTACAGATGAAGTACTGCCATCCCTAAATAACGAGTGCAGACGGTTTTCAACATGGTCCCTTCTGCGTTCATCGGATGCATTCATGTCTCTCAGCACATCACGCAGCGGCCTTGTTGTCAGGTCATTGTCAGGGGGGAAACCAGTTTCCCATGATGTAGATTGATCATCACCGGGGCCATGTATAAGGCCAGACTGTCGTAGTGATTCAAAATGGCGCAGGATCCTGCGGCGTTCGGCGCGGTCAGTGACGCGACCAGTAGTGCGTGTGCGACGGATGCTGGAGCGAGGTGGCGCTGTCGCACTCTTGTCGGCAGCTTTGGATATGAGATCTGACTCGACTGGAGCGATAAACAGACTGCACAATGTTAGTAAGTTTACATTTTGACAGGACAAGGCTGTCACTACTGCAACGAGTATGCAAAGACGGAGCGCGCGATATCAAGTAGCGGCTATGCGCATTCTCATTCGCAAGTTCAGCAGTGTGCAGTTGCGTTGATGTAGTGAAGTGATGGCGATGTCGACAACGATGATATTCGTTGACCGGGGCATCACTACGCCGGCGCAATGACGATAAAGTTTGTGGATGGGGTTTAAAAAAACAAGGATGCGCTTACGGGAGTCCCATGGTTGAGGAAATGCAAAACGAATGACGAGATCGACGAAAAAATTCCAAATAAAAGTCCCAAGAAATATTTTAGGGCGGCGACAATGCTGAATGGTCCCAAATTATTATCATGAATTAGAATAGGCGATGCGATATGACAATAATGATGATGTTGTTGCCTAGATAGGTAGTAAAGTTGATAAAGCCAGAAAGAAGCGTGAAGTGTGAAAGCGGGTAATTAACCAGTGGAGAGGATGAAAGAACGGAGTGGGCGAAGGGGTTTACGGTTGCGGTTGCGGGGGGTCAAGGGAGGTAGAGAGAGTAATAAAAATAAATCAACCAATTAAAAGAGCACCAGCTATTGCGGCTCTAAGGTGTGCCTACTTCGCGTGCGCGTTTGAATTCACGTGTCGAGAACCAATCAACGCGAATAGAGACCAACGCACGCACAGCCACTTGCGACGCCGCATGACGCCACATGACACCACTATATCGGTATTCGGAATCTGTGGCTTGAGCTCGATGAGCAATAACCCCACTACTTTCAACATCAATCGCCCCCAGTGAAAATTAATGGCCATACAAGACTCATTCATGTCTTGACGTCGATGATAATTCTCAACTTTCAAACATCACCAATTCATCAATCCGCTTTGGAACTGTTCTCAACAGCATCTCAGGAGCCTCATACGGCATTAGTAAACCCTATCGCCGGGCTCCGGTGAGATGCCGTCTCACTTGAACGTTCAATATGTCTTCCTCTCAGGAAATCAAGTTCGCTCTTAGCCGCATCAACCGTGTCTTGAAAGGAAAGAGAACAGCTGGTTACAGAGACATCCGCTTAGGTCTCGACCGTATCAAACGTGTTATCCCAAAAAATCAAGAGTGGAAAGGCATCCATGTCGCTGGAACGAATGGCAAAGGCTCAATATGCACCTTCCTCGGCGGCCTGTTCAGAATGGCCGGTTTCGGTTATGGGAGCTTCACGTCGCCCGCTATTCCAGAGAGACATAATGGAGTCATCATAAACGGCCTTTATGTGAATAAACGCATGTACGAGATGGAAATGAAGCATGTTGAAGAGAAGTGGCACCGAATTGCCACTGGCTGGACATATCAGCACCTGGACGATCCCAAAGGTCTATCGCCATTCGAAGCCGAGACGGCAACAGCATTCCGGGTTTTCAACAAGATGCACGTTCCCTATGGTATTGTCGAGGTTGGTATGGGCGGCGCCACCGATGCGACCAATGCCATGAAGCAAAAGTCAGTCACTGTTATTTCCAAGATTGGTCTTGATCACCAAGAGTACCTCGGCAACACCATCGAAAACATTGCCAAAGTCAAAGCCGGCATTATGCGAAAAAATGTTCCCTGTATTGTTGACCACACTAACTCTCCTGCTGTCATACATGTACTCCGACAACATGCCCGGGAAATCGGTACAAACATTATTCTTACATGGAAAGCTGAACCTCTACTCTTGACCCTCAACAACGAAAGATGGAAGCTTGAGAGTTACCAAGTGCAGAACTTGCTGTGCGCGGCCATGGCCTTCCGTCAACTGTTCCCACGACACCCAATCGACCTCAACATGCTCTTGAGTTCACATCCTTTCTTGCCGGGTCGGTTGGAAACAGTTCGCGTAGATTCGCCTAGTATCGAGACGCCTCGAGATATCGTGGTTGATGGTGCTCACAACATGCTGGGCATTGAGGCGTTGTTCAAACATGTCTTCCACCGTTTACGTAAACAGGATCCAACTGTGCCAGTGACTTGGGTCATGGGCATGTCGGCCAGCAAAGATAAGCCTATATTGGAAATCATTGACAAGCTCGTTGAGCCTCACGATAATTTTGCCATGGTCGAATTTACTCAAGGCCCCAATGATCCTCAGCCGGCTCCCGCCCACTACGGTACTGAGCATGCTAGGGGTATTGTCGAAAACCCCGACGACCAAATCTACGATGGACATCCCGATATTTCAGCTGCTCTGCCCTGGGCATGTGCCAAATCCAAGGGTGGGCCGGTGGTTGTGACAGGGAGTCTTTATCTGATTCGCCAACTATTTGAGCTCAAGGACGTTCACCGATCAAGGGAGCCAGGCATGAGAAGACCCGGGCGTTCCCAGCTATATCGATTGAGCCAGCTTGCTAGGAAGAATAAACTCACACCGCCTGAAAAACGTGAGTTCAAGGAAGCCAGGCGGCATTTTGAGCTATCGCCTCGTAAAAGCTCGGTTTTCCGTCGCACACAATCACGCAAGCCAAGATTACGAACAATAGCCCTGAGATTGGTGTGGAGAAAGCCAACGCGGCGAATTCAAAGCAAGGCAGCATTTCATAAGCACCAGAGACGAGGTTATCTCCAGACCATCAATGCTCTCAAAAAAGATATGCAGGTGGCAGAGGAGACAGGAGAGGGACTCAAAAGTCCCGCCGATAGTCTCCTGGCCCGCATCGAAGACTTGGAGAAACAGGCCGAGATGCACAGAGAACAGTACGACGACGCTATGTTCAAACTGAGGGGATACAAAGCCGTACCGCACATGAAGTACATGACCCATCGCGAGATCTTTGGGTATCCCAAGAAACCCAAAGCGCCCACCAAGTCTCCCTTCGCCGCCGCCAAAAAGACCGACAAGCCTGAGAGGAAGAATAAGAAACCTGTTATGGCGTGGAAAGACCGATCTCAGAGCTTCGGTGAAGAGCTTGCCGCTGCCGAGAAAGCGCGAGAATGGTCGATGAAAGAAGCTGCAATCATGAAGGCTGAGAGAGCCGAGAGGGATGCGAAGGACCCCGATGTCATCCTTAAAACAAAGATCGAAGCCGGAAGAAGAGGCATGGGACCGAACGACTCATGAGATGGTTGGGATGTTTTTGGAATATTAAAAGCTTGACTGTACTATACAAAGCGAATGATGAATTGGTCAGGGATTGGGGGATGCAAGGATGTATAGGACGAGTCTGTACGATACGAGAATTGAGGGCACTGCCCATCTTGATCAACCATGAAGCTTCAATTTTACATGAGCACTACAGCTGCGCGAATCTGTCTATGATGTTGGGAATCAGCCATCGTCAATCTGCACACAAGTCTTTGGCTTGCTTCAGACATCACATGATCAGACCCTCACTTTGGGTCGTAATTGACATCTGAAGCTTCTCATAATATCCTATCATATTATGCCTCATCATCATCATCCACCACACAACCCGGCGTTCATCCAATCACTTATATCACCACCATGACATCCAAGAATTTCACTCATCTTATCATCGTCTGCTGCCATGGTATTTGGCTCGGCGGTCCAGCCCATGGCTATGACGAAAATGAATGGCTTATCGCCGACTTTCAACGCGGCGAAACTCCAACTTTTGTCGAGCATATTAAAGCTGGAGTAGCAGCCCTTGCCGAAGATCATGGCAACGTTGCATCCGACAAACAACCAGATGATGATAAAATAGGGTTTTCGAGGTCTTGTCAATTTGACACACGGTCAACAAGCTTTTCCAAATCATGGCTGGTATTCTCAGGGTATGTGTTCAAGCCACGGCATCTTTTGGGCCTACTGACTGTGTTGTTAGAGCTGCAACACGCAAAGAATCGCAGGTTTCAGAGGCGGCTGGGTATAAGAATATTGCTGCCGCAAACGATTACTGGGGACTATTGCCAGACGAAAAAGCTCGAGATGCTGTATTGTTGGAAGAGCGTGCTCTCGACTCATACCACAACATCCTCTTTTCTCGGTCACTAATCTATTCTCGTTTCAAGACATGGCCAACTCACATCACCGTCGTCAGTCACGGCTTTAAGAAAGAGCGGCTTATCGACGGCCACTGCTCGGCTATAGAGCTCAACCTTGATCGAGTTAACTTCATCGGCATAGATCCACCTGGGATGGTAGCTGCGTCAAAGGATCAGGACAAGGAAGACGCTATGAAAGGCGTTGGTCTGGCTTTGGGAGAATGGAAGGATGATCCGCATGGTACTGGGGAGGTTCTTGCTGAGAAGAGAGCCAAAAGAAATCCTTGGGGCGTATGGCAGGGTCATTTTCCCCAAGATTTTGATCAGTGAATTTGCGTCGTAGATGGAGAATGGGTTTGAAGCTTTTGTTGCAAAGGCAAATCAATAGTAGCAAATAAATAATCTAGATATTTAGGCTGTAGCTCTATAGTACACTTTTTTCTCCCTCTCTTACCTGACTTTTCCCTCGCGGTCCCTTTTCAACAGCATTTACCAAGAATCGCACAGCATCTTCCACCATATCAGCACTAAACTTATGTCCAACACCCTCATACACTCTATCATCCAACTCCACGCCCCCATCACGATACCAGCCCTTCTCGCTCACAGCCTCTTTCAGCATTGTGACAAACGGCTTGGCATTTGCATACGGAACTAGAGCATCATTGCCTCCTGAGCAGAGAAGCAATTTCTTGCCTCTGATGCGCTCGTCAAGGATAGTTCTCAGACGAGTCTGCTCGGTAGTTGGCAAAGCTCCAGAGGGGATGGGCGAAGTACCGAAAAGTAACGTTTTGGGATCATGAGAGCTACAGGTCCCGACAAGGTCCTTTGGGAAATACTTGCTTCCGATGAAATCGGCACCGCAGTCAAGATTCGCTTGCGCAGCACGATCGCTCATGAGGTCTGTTATCTCATCAGCTTCAATCCCTTTCTCGTACTTTTCAACTTCGACTTACTTGCAAAATCAGGGCATCCGATGATTACCACAGCTGCATCAATCCTCTTTTCTCCAAAGAAGGCCTGCCAGGCACTATGTCCACCTAAACTCCAGCCCAAACAAACATGTGCGTCAATTTCGCGACCAAGATACCCAGAGACAAGATCCATGAGACCACTCATATCAGCCACACCACCTTTTACCATACCAAACATGTCAATAGCATGCGTAGAGTTGCCTTTATCCCAGGCGTGGTTCGCTGCCTCGCTGACAAGTCTAGTTCCATGGTTGGGCATGTCAAAGGACAGAGCGACGAAACCTCGCTTGGGATTTGATCCAGCTTGGGATGTCCATGCAAAGATGGTGCGCTTTGCAATGTCTTGCATTCTTGCTCGTGTTCTGGTTCGAGGGTGTAAGAGCCAAAGACATGAGACTGGGACGTTGGGAGGCAATTCATCGAGACCGTAGACGTCGACGAGCAAACCTGCCATGGGGATTGTCTTGACTGAAATGGATGGCGGGTCTGGTAGACCCTTGGTAGCGTATGTGTCTGCCATAATAATATTTTTATTGTATGTAAAATAATGGATGTTGATTGTTGTAGATAGTATCAAACCGAGGGTGATATCACAGTTGGATGGTGTTGCAGATCAGCATGTGGGTCTAGGGTAGCGGAGCCGGTGTCGGTCACAATACTTATTGCATCATGACACAGTTCTAATGCGAGATATCAAAAATAAAACCGAGTCTTTACTAATTAATATTTAAAACTATAGTATATAGCCTTTACGTGAGTGAGTGTGTGTGTGTTGGGTTGTTGTGAGAGGAAAGGATGATGTTGTAGATGCTGGTTGTGGTCCGAATGTTAATGGTAAACCAACAAGTACAAGTCACCAATTCAACAATTACCATAAAGCCATTGTTACTGCAGGCTCAATAATTTTTCAAATAAAAACTTGACTCTTTTTCAATCGTAGGTCGATTCTCTGGTACGAAATATCAAGGCACTCCTGGCACACAAACAATATTTGGGTTGTAACAAACATAACAGTTCAAAAGAATTATCAATTCACGCAATGCTGCGGTTGCTTTACGTAAACTAAAATATAAGAAAAAAGGGTAAATAGGCCAACATCATGAACATCCATCGCCATGCTGCTGGAAAAGCAGAGAAAAATATAAAACAAAAGAACCAAAGAAGAACTGCCCAGCCTTTCCTCAACGCCATTGTGCGGTATCGTGCCTTGTCCCGTTTGCCCACTGCCTTTGTCCCAACCTAACCCAGCCCAGTTTCTTTATGCTACCCACGAAAATGTGCCTTGATTCGAAAAAGGGGAAGGAGAAAAGAAAAAAGAAGGAAGAAGGATTTTTTGGTCTTCCAGTGTCTTTTATAACCGAATGCGGTTCGAGAGTGTTTGTCTGTAGTACTGCCGAGTATATCTCGACACGTTTGGGTAGTCTTATTCTATCTCTTAGTCGACCTTCCAGTGGTCGTGTTCATCAGAGCCGAGGTAGAGCTCGACACCGTACAACACCATGGTCAGTCCGATGTTAGCCCATTGCCAGTTGCTGCCCTCGACATCGCCTCCTCTTAATGTCCAGCCGTCGGGGCCGTCGCTGGTGGAAAAATGTTGCAGGAGTAGACTCGTGTAAACCGCTATTAAAAGTGAGGGCGAGAACCAGCTGAGGAATCCAAGGAATTTGCTGGCAGTCTCGGAATCATCCCAATCAGGCTCTTGCATCATAGCTCGGGCGCCTGATTCGCGAATTGAAGGGATGATGCGTGTAGCGCAGTAGAATACCAATGAACGGTATGTCAGGGATATGATGACCGAGGGTGTGATGGTCTGGAAGGCCGCATATAGCAGGGCCAAAGATGAGTGGACGGCGGAGGGCAATGAACCTAGCATATGGAGGAAAGTTGAGTATGATGCCATAATGACAGGTGGTAGAGGAGGAATATCGGATTCCGAGTTGTCCTGGCCGTGTGTTTGGTCGGCGTTCTCTGACGGTAGGTAATCGGTAAAGATTTGGTAAATGCAGAGGACGATGTAGGCAAAGAGGAGCGATGATTCAATAGGGTTGCCGCGACCACTGCCGATACCAAAGGCGCACAGAAACACAGCAGTGGTCATTGCGATGCCAATGAGGGTGGCATCGAGGTTGCCAATTTGAGGGAATTGTGCGACCCTCCAGAGGAAGTAGACGGCACTGGCCATAGTAGAGCTGGAGAGGACCAGAAGGACAATCTGCAATGGTGTTAATATGTGATATATTCATTTCTCCCGAATAAAAACTCACCAACCAAGTGTCGCTTCTTCCACGGTTGACAAGCCACCTGGTGAGTTGTCCTGCAGCCTGGATAACCAACAAGGTACAGAAGCCCTCCAAGAGTTGGAACACGGGTCCCGAATATCGTAACACATTATCCCATGTACCCAGGGTGACCGTCTCGATCAAACCGTCCTTGCCAAACATCCATTCCCTCCAGCTTGTGCTCTTGGAGTTGAACAAACCACCGATTGTTCGCTCCACCCAGTTTGTGTTGCCAGCGTCGACAGCAAACTGACCCAACGCCCAGATGAGGAGGGTAGGGATGATGATCCATTGCGACAGCCGTAGGAACCCAGTTAGGAAATACCTTGAGCGTGACTTTTCGGGTGTCAGAAGCTCAAGGCTGGAGTATATGAAGTAGAAGAGGAACAGGGCTAGACTGTAAGCCAGCCCGCTGTCGCGACCGCCGACATCGAAGGCGACGGGGATCGAGAGGACGATGCTGAGCAGGAAGATGGAGCTGAAGAGCGCCTTGAATAGCCACCACATCGGAGCGAAGAGATGGCAGGCGTAGGCGGCGCCGAGGGGAGGGTATCGGGATCGATTTCGTTGCGTTCAGCAGCAAGTGGGCATCCAAGTGCGGTCAGGCGATGGCGGAGGATATCGTGGCAGTTTAAAGATGTCGCCTGGTGTGTGGAGTTGCTCAAGGGTAGATTTTGCCCATCGATAAGGCTCGTTTCGATCGGCTTGTGAAAGTGCGTGCGATATAATTTAAGGCCGGCTACTAGCGAGAGGGTCCAGGCGGGACAGGGACGAAAGATACAGAGCTCGAGCAGGTAAGTTGTGAGTAGAGGTTGACAAGACCGAACAGATCAGAACAGACGGTCAGTTTCCAAAGTTGGTGGTTGATCAGTCTAAAATTCACGGTACGTAGCGTAGCTTTCACAGCAGTTCTCGGCTGTTGCTAATTGTTTGAGTGTGACTTGAACCCAAGGCGATGCAATGTGGCAGTTGGAGGTAGCGACCAGTTTTTGCTTATCGTCCGCTATCTTCACGTGGCAAAGACAGTGCAGCAATAGCGCAGGCATCACAGAGAAGATCACATCACCCAGAAGCTCAGGCCAGGCTTCAGCGTCACTCGGCCGCTAAAACAAGTTGACGGAGGGGAAGCTTTTTTGGTAGGTGGGTGACGATTGGCACGTGTCATTCGAACAGTGAGTATTATCTCTGATTTAAAATAACCAAAACAAAACTAAAGAATGCTACTGCACGGAAAACCAAGTTTCAGATTGATAGAAAGACAGGTTTATTTGTTCTATTTTTGACTGATTGACCAAGTAGAGGCTGTGTTGATGATCTGGCTTGGTTGATCGATAGCGTCACATCGACATGATAGGCCTGCAGCACATCTCACAAACAAGAAAGCAGATCAGTACCTACATGCAGCAAGGAGGGATCAGGACGATGACAGCATCAATAATGAACTTGTTGTGGCACATGTGTTACGTAGATAAAGAAACCTTTCTATGAGTCTGCTTGTCAGCAACACCGCGATGCATGAGTTTCCACTCGGGTCAGAATAAGGTCAAATGATACCCACGCGGATATCCGATAATTCTTGACTTGCCGACTGATAAGGTTCATGATCAAACACATTTGGCATAGTTTGATCCTGTCATGAGTCCCTTGAAAATGATTCTCGTATTGCGCTTACATGAATATGCTTGTGTCCGACTTTGTGTCCACCTTCGTGTTCGGCACCGGAAAAACACCACAGCCCTACGTACTCCCCACTTTGGCCAAGAATTTGTTTTCCATGTCGTATCGTAGCCTCCATATTCTGACTCCTACATCATCACAACCACTTCACGCCTTTTTGCACCACTTTTCCCCATCTTTGTTTCCACGAACCCAACTTCCGCCTGACGCTTTATTCACTCCTGAACTGATGCTTTGTATTTGTGCTAGTGCTATGATACTCGTGTCTTTCCATGCCCAACATCCTGACATTTGCCCATCTAACTTTTCACTGCCTTGCCTTGCTTTGCCTGCCTTCCATGCCTAAACTTTAAACACGCTGCACAAAACATCGATATACCCTGCCTTGCTCCTTTCCATTCCATTCCGACACGAAAAAAAAAAAAAAACGCAAACGTCCAATATTGGTCCAATCGCCTCGATACCTACGATACGATACGATACGACACGACATGACACGACCCGACACGCCACGCTGCCATCCAAATCCACGAACGCGCTGTATAGAATAGCAAGTGCTTCTATACTGGGAGGAAGGAGCTGCCATGCGAAAGATATCAATTCAGGGCGCGAAGCTTTGCTGTATGTTTGTTAAGAAGACAATGCATCGGGGAATCGCGTCGTATTGAGACATCTATTTGCTAGTGCAGCCTGAAGATATTCACATGTAATGCAAGTGCATGTAAATATCCCTTCCATTTATTATCAATTGAATTCAATTGTATACATCTACATGCTGTGGTATTGTATCACTGTCATGTTGTCGCGTGTTGTGTTGAGGCACATTGGTGATGATGTTGTGTTGTGTGGTGTTGGGCTTCAACTCGTTGTGGAAAATTTTGCAGAAGCAGGGGCACATCACGATGACTCCAAAACACCTTGGAATCATCACGGTGCTGCGTTTTGCGGATAATCGAAAGCTTCACGCTGGCGCAGTTCACGATGCTGCTGTCGGCTGCCCAACGGCCTCTACCCCACAGCGCAGCGAGCCCTCATCACTACGTACATTGCCGCCAGTCTCAACCACCACGAACAGCCTCACCACCAGCACCTCATTACTCAGCAGGAGGGCTATGACCTGCCAACGCTGTATAGGCTGTCCTAATCGACAATGTTTCCAAGGGGGAGCAGGGGCGCCAGCGGAACTGGTCAGGTCAAGCTGCTCTCGCCTGGTGGATAAAGGGTTCGGACAACAACAAGTACGAAGATCAACGATTCGATTCCCGACAACTACGACAAAATACCGAGGGGCGAGGTTTGCAGCAGGCGCCCGAGGGTCAGGTCAAACTGCAGCCCCCCAATCCGACGCCACAACGCCAATAGAGATAATAAATGATAACGGATAAATAATAACAGAACACAACAAACAGGGGCACCTACAAGGGCGCCTTCGGGTCAGGTCAAGCTGTAGACCCCGAACCCGACGCCACAACGCCAAGAGATATAGGAGCCATCCCGGGCTCCGAACTCTTTTGTCAGTTTGATATATGATATTTATTTGCAGTTTGACTTGGTGATGTGAAAATGTATTATGTCTCGGAACTTTCATTTCAATTGAGGACTTAGGAAGGTTGCGAAAGTGAATTGTCTAAGATGTATCCGATGTAATTGAGTAATATGTGAAATGATGTAATTGAATGATGTTTGGATTGGAATTGAAGAATATAGTACTCTAGGTAGCTTGCGCAACTGAAGATATCTAGCAATTGGAAATATTACTTTTGAGAAACCTCGTTCTGTGACATGACATTTTGCGCGACCAAGTGAAGTCGAAAAAAGTGTCACACTATTGGTCGCGACAGTAATCGCCCAGAGATCGCCAAGGTCTGGGCACTAGCTTGGCGACAACCTCAATTGAATGTGGGTATTAGACGACATAGACGCTCACGACATTGCCTCTGAGGAATAAGCTTAAATGGCCCACATGCGCACACGGACTTGCAAGACAAACACTCCCCGAGCTCCCCGTCACTGAGGAAAGCGAAACGACTAGACGTTGAGCATTACAATTACGTGAGAGAATGACCCCGACAATCCACAAAGACACCGACGAGCCGGAAGTTCAATCGCAGCTTGAATGTCGTTTTTCAAGGATGCGATGGTGCAACAGCAGGGTTTGGATAAATTGCAGAGCCAGGAATAGCACCGCTCTTGTTGCCGTTGTTGGAGTAAGCATTCCAGACCGCCGGGGCGAAAGGCAAAGTCACAGCAGCATTTGTTTAGCTTCCGAAGAGGCTCAGACTAGAACATCACACTATTCCATTGAGAAATCACATCATTTGAACTCCCCGTGTGCAAGTGGGACAAAGATTCGGCAATGGCCATTGCAGCAAGAGCAATTCGGGATCCATGGCCCAATACCAGAATAAGGTTGATGCAGAAACAGCTCTCAGATAGAGTGAAGCCGACGTAGCATCGGAGCTGCATGGGCGCTGATCAGTTCCTTGGTTACTTACTGTTGGATCCAAATCAGATGTCTTTAATCCTGCAATGTCATCATAAGTGATAGCAGTTGCATAATCACCCACCTGGTGAACGCCTCGTTCAATAGCTGATATTGCGTGCGACTCGTTAGTTGCAGCTCATGATCTTAAACTGTTGGACCAACAAACATTGTAGATCGAGCTACACTGAGATTGGTTTCGCCTCTCGGAAGCTCTGTACGTAACAACTACGTTAACTTGCGATCAGAGCTTCAAGACCCACGCCTGAGAAGCTATGGCCCGACTCAGTTTAGAACCTTGGAACTGGATTTCCAAGGGCAATGTTGAAAACTCCATGTTCAAAACCGGGGCGCAGGAAACAACGGAACAAAGTCTTAGTGGACTTGTACTGGAAGCATTGCTTCTGTTCTCTTGCGAATCTCATGGCAATCTGGGGTAACACTCGAAGTAAAGCCTCCTCTAGGCAGACGTTTTAAATCAAGATCAGCCAGACGGAGACCCCAGTGAGTTTTGTGTTTTAAACGATGATACCGCAGAAACTGGGCTTTACTGGCTGACGTGCAGCTTCAGTTCTGGGTCGTCGGGGTTAATGACAGGCCTAGTCCGGAAGTTCGGCACATGGCGTGAGTTGAGTGGGGGCATCGTTCGCCGTTCCGTGTGGATATACGACGGCCGTATCTAACGTTAGTAGCCATTTGGCTGCACTCCGTGGTGTGTGGAACATTTGATCCTCCATGAGTGGTGTGTTATGTTGTACTTTTGAGAGTCAATATCATCCTAGCGCAAGCTTTGCTGAGAAAAGAGGACCAAGGAGGAGTGAGGTGAAGGATTTCCGAAGGGGCAATTGCAGAGATTGATGACCAGAAAAGTCCCGTTTCCAGTCTAGCAGTAAATCTCTTTGTCCAGGTAGGGAACAGGCTCTGGTAGAATTCGTGTGACCAATGAATGGTACTGTAACTTGGAAGTGATCGTTGGTATCGTAACCTGTTGTAGAATGAAGTAGGGATCATGTCTGAGATTAGAGATTCCCCAGACCCTTTAAAATGCAGCTTGATTCCCATCCTTTTCTGCAGCTTTTCCATCCAGCACTTGTCCGTTTGTGTTTTGTGCCTGGCCCTTATTCTTCTTTTGATCTTCCGATTTCGTCATCGCTAACTTGGAAGTACGCCAACCTCACAAACACACTAATTGATCATCCAAACAAGCACTTGCATTGTGTCTTGATAGATCAAAGATGACCGAAAAAAGATCCCTCGGAAGCGGGAGTCAAAGTCCAGACCCCGAGCGTCGCCAATCTCAAGTTCAGACACCCTCGTCGCGATGGGCATCTCTATTTGGTGGAGCAGGCGTCACAGTCGGCCCTCGTATCGCTCAACTCCCCGAATTCGTCAGGCGTGATATTTCCGATTCGGAAGACTCCAGCTCTGCTATTCTCAACAAACAATTGCAAGCTGAACAAGGAGAGCAGATTCAGTACCGCACTTGCTCATGGCAAAAAACTGCCGGGTTGCTCTTCAGCGAGTATATTTGTCTTGCTATCATGAGTTTCCCATGGTCGTACAGTGTGCTCGGTTTGGTGCCTGGTATTATCCTCACTATCGTCATTGCTCTCATCGTTCTTTACACCAGTCTTGTCCTTTGGGAGTTTTGCTTGCGTCACCCAGAAATGCGCGATGTTTGCGACATTGGCCAGATGCTGTTTTGGGACAAGAAGTGGGCGTGGTGGGCAACTGCTGTGTGCTTCATTCTGAACAACACCTTTATTCAGGGTCTTCATGTGCTGATTGGAGCCAAATATCTCAACACCATGACTGAGTCGGATGACATTGGCCACTGTCGGACAGTCATGTTCTCGGCTGTTGTTGCCATCATCAGCTGGGTCTGCTCACTACCCAGGACTTTCGACATGATGGCCAAGCTTGGCACAGCCTCGGCCTTTTTCACCTTCATTTCCGTCTTGCTTGCTGCCATCTTCGCCGGTATTCAGGACCACCCATTTGGATATGATCCCGCAAAGCTGGGCCAGCCCATTGTCACCGCCATCCCGGTTAAAGGAACAACGTTTGTCAACGGAATGTCCGCCTTCCTCAACATCAGCTACACCTTCATCGGCCAGATCACCCTGCCAAGTTTTATCGCCGAAATGCGAGACCCTCGGGACTTTCCCAAGGCTCTTTGGGCGTGCACAATCGCGGAAATCATTGTCTTCAGTCTTGTTGGAGCCATTGTGTACAACTACACAGGCAATCAATATGTGACAGCACCAGCCTTTGGATCACTTGAAGATCTGTACAAGAAGGTTGCGTTCTCGTTCATGATTCCGACCATCATCTTCCTTGGGTGTCTGTACGCTTCAGTTTCGGCTCGCTTCGTCTTTTTCCGACTTTTCCGTAACTCCAAGCATTTGAACAGCCACACTATTATTGGTTGGGGATCTTGGAGCGGAATCCTTCTCGTGACTTGGGTTTTTGCTTTCATCATTGCCATGATCATCCCATTCTTCAACTCTCGTAAGTGTTCTTTGAGATAAAAACTTGTTTCGGCAGCCGCTAACATTCCTGTCAAGTTCTTTCCGTCATGTCGTCTCTGTTCGATAGTTGGTTCGGCTTCATCTTCTGGGGCGTTGCCTACTTCCGAATGCGCACTGCTGATAAAGAGGCTGGCCGACATCATAGTAAGGTGACCGATCTTGCCGGCAACATCCTGAACCTAATTTTGATTGCGGTTGGCATTGTGTTCCTTACAGTTGGCACGTACGCCAGTGTGCAAGGTATTATTGATCAGTACGCTGCTGGTACAGTTTCTGGCGTCTTTTCGTGTGCATCAAACGGTCTTTGATGAGGAGATGTGATGAATTTGAAGAACAAGATGTCCCTCCGTCGAAAAGCGGACGAGCGGTAGAGGAAGACATGAAGAGTATATACCCCTTGCGATCACGATGTGCAGTTGGCAACGATTCCTGATAACGATATCGAGACGGACTGTATTTTGGTTCAGTTAATGCTTAATGAATTGATTCCTTGCCGTGTTCTATCGTGACGAAAAGTGACGTGAAGTTGGTGAGGGTGGTTGTTGAGCTTGAGTTTGAGGCTCTTGGTCTTGAATTTAATCTTAGCCACCAACCAGGCCTCTTGCCAAGAATGCCCAGAAACTTGGCGTCATCTGGAACTTACCATTTCCTCGCGCTGATGTTAAAGGTCATTCATCGAATCAAACAGGCGATGCATGTCAAATGGAAGCCATCTTATTGCTATGAGCGAAAAATAAATGCTGGCAGACCACTTTGTATTGTCCGATGTACTACTAGGTCGGTAGACAAGTACTGTTACGTGAAGTTGTAAGAGGTATCCAATTGTCACCATCGCTATTTGCTACACACGATGCATCTAGCTGGAATATATAAACGTCTGTTGCTAGCTGGGTATGAAGGATAGATAAAACATTATCAAAGTTACAATAAAAAGATTAACATTTCAGTATTCGTATTCGCACCTTTACATTCCAGCCTGTTCATTAACCCACTCAATCGAAGAATATGGTCCTACCAGATTACCGGAATTATAAATCTCACTTAACATAAAGGAAGTCTGAGCTTCTAACAAATACCGAATAATCGTATGGTGTTTATGTTTATCAGCGGAACAATGGCACCACTCGAACCACTTCCCCTCCCGCCTTTTGTTACTACTAGACACGTATTTATTTTTGTATATCAATCAGTGAATCAATCAATATTCAATTCGTACAAATACCTACGTAAAATAAGTAGTACTATAGATATGAATAAAAGCTCGTAATGCTGATACTGATATCAAACAGACATGTCCACGCCATCTAATTCGCCCCTCTGAGTGGTCTTCTGTCCTTCTCAAAATGCCCCGCCTTTCCACCCCTCAAAAACGGGCTGCGCTTCGGGTCCCCTGAATTTGGGTCGCCCCCCCTCCCCGCCAGCCCCTAATCGAAACTTCATTGGATTTTCACCGCCTTAGGGTCCACGTAGCTTCTCTTTTATTTTGTGCCCCTGCAAGTTTGACAACCTGGAAATAAGGAGGAGGCAAATATCAAGCTTCTTTTAAGCTCTCTCTTTCATTCTTTCTCTGTTGTTTTCTTCTTCGACATCATCCTAAAAACAGAAAAAAACACAATCGCCATGTCCTCTACTGTTACTTCGAGGGCAAAGGGCAATGGCCCTTCTGCGCCAGAACACAACGACGTCGCCGACAAGACAAACGATTTCTTCTGGACATATACCGAGGAACCTCATCGAACTCGTCGTCTTGCCATTATCAAGGCTCACCCAGAAGTTCGTTATGCCCTCTGCCCTTTCTTTTCAATAGCTAATTTAGATTCCTATAGGTCACCAAGCTCTGCGGTCCCGAACCTCTTACGAAATGGGTCGTCCTCGGCGTCGTTTCCCTCCAAGTCTTCCTCGCATGGATGCTTCAGTCAACACCTTTCTTCTCGTGGAAGTTCTGGGCTGTAGCGTACGTGTTTGGTGCGACCGCCAACCAGAACCTTTTTCTCGCTATTCACGAGATTTCGCATAACTTGGCTTTTAAGAGTCCTCGTCTTAACCGTTTGATCGCCATCTTTGCCAATCTTCCCATTGGAATCCCCTACAGCGCTTCATTCCGAGTATGTCACAATAACAAATCCGAAAGCTGTAGTTTTTTAGCTAACTTATCTAGCCTTACCATCTTACCCACCACAAGTCCCTTGGCGTTGATGGCCTCGATACCGATCTTCCCACTGCTTTCGAGGCAGTCTTTCTCGATTCGATTCTCGGAAAGGCTTTCTTCTGCACTTTCCAGATCTTCTTTTACGCTCTACGACCCATGGCCGTCTACCGCATTCCCCTGACTCAGATCCACGCCCTCAACATCTTCGTTCAGGTATCCTTCGATCTGGTTCTCCTTAAGTACGGCTCTGTCAACTCTCTCCTCTACCTACTGCTCTCTTCCTTCCTCGCAGGAAGTCTGCATCCCCTGGCCGGCCACTTTATCGCAGAGCACTACGTCTACGAGACCGTCACACCCTCCGCTCGCGATCCCGAGAACAAGATCCCCGTTCCCGAGACCTTTTCCTACTACGGACCTCTCAACTGGTTCACCTACAACGTCGGTCTTCACAATGAACACCACGACTTTCCCGCTATTCCCTGGACCCGTCTCCACGCTGTGCGAGACATTGCTCACGAATTCTACGACCCCTTGCCCCGTCATGAGAGCTGGTGCTACGCCATCTGGCGCTTCATCTTTGATGAGAACGTTGGCATGAGCTGCCGTGTCAAGCGCAAGCAGGGTGGTCGTCTCGTTGGAGGTGGTGCTGTTGCAGACTGGAAGCAGTCCGAGATTGAGGCGATTTAGAAAGAGGACAAAAGCATACGATAGAATACATACTTTGTAATAGTTGAAATTTTGATGTGTTGGTTTTTTAAATCGACACCAAGGAGCAAGACATTGCTCTGATTTTATGATATTGACTCTTCGTTTGGCTGCGGGTTAGTCGCAATAAGAAGATTAGATCAAGACAAAAGCACGATAGAGTGTAGATCTTTTGCGCAAGGCGTTCTAGGCTATGAATATAAAACACATGAGATCTCCGAACGACGATCATAATTAAGCGAGTGTCGCGGGATATTTGTTGATGATCATTACTCGTTCAAGCAGAGACATTCTCGAATCTAAGCGGAAATTATGTTACAGTCATGAGGTCAGATTGCACAAGAAACGAAGATTTGTAGTGACATAATGAATTAGAACGCCAAAGTTCTCAGTAAGCTCAAACAGCAGAATAACACAACGCAAGAAAATACGAGAGCCAGGAAGACTCAAGTTAGAGTATACAGTCAAAGTCGCCGCGCGGGAAGCTCTCCTCTCCTTTGCCCATCGCTTTTCCAACACCATCGCATCACCCTCCTCCTGATTGCAGATACTCAGTCAAACTCATCACGAAATAACCTGTTTCGCTGGTGTTTGGTCTGAAGGCTCCTAGTCGCTTCATGATCCAGTCGCTTCGGTGAGGTATCGCCCTATGAATGCTGCCACATCCTACCCATCATATGATATGCTTTCCAGGCTTTGCCTTTGCCGTACTTTGAAGATATATGCACCTGAGAATTCCATGCTTCCCAGTGGAGTTATCATAAGCGTCATCAGGCCTGTCTATTAGTTTCTTTGTAGAAGATCCTGGGCTGCCATCTTCTTATTTCTAGAAGAAGAAATAAGCGAGCAGGAAGCTGACCAAGCAGAGGATAGCCGCCATCTGGACTGGTACACCCTCGACAGTCTGCTGAATGGCTTGGGCAGTTTGGGCCATGGGCCGCTTCTCATCGTCGTTGGAATCGGACTTAACATTTCGCTGACGGAGACCGCTATCCTTAAGAGAGACGAGCTGCTGCTCAGCTTGGGCAAGCTTAGCTTTAAGCTCCTCGTAGGTCAGCTCAGCAGTCTCCTTGATGGATGTTGTAGCTTGGGAAATGGCACTCTTGACTTCGAAGTCGGACTGCATAGATTTGGGCCTCTCCTCATAGGAATGCTCATTGGGAGATTGGTAAGGAGGGGGTGCGGAGGAGACTGGCGAGTCATCCCGGGCGGTAGGGGAAGAGTAAGTGCGAGAAACGTCGGGAGTATCGTTGGCCTAGGTTGATTAGTCGCAAAACTTAGGATCAACGATGTGAAGACTTACGCCGTTAGCGATGGCCTGTTTGTTGGGGGTTGAAATTGGTCGGTGAGGAGCATCGGCGGAACCAGCCGGCAACCAGTTGACTCGAATCTTGCGCTCTACAAGCGAGGCCTTGTCCGTTGTCTCGAGCTATTAAATCGGGTAAGTTCATGAAAGTTGGGTTCGGAAAGCGATTGGAGGGTGCATACCACGGAAGCGTGATTGGCGAACTCCTTATCAGCGGTAATGGCTGTAGACTGGACCAGGAACTTGTCACGGCATCGGGCGTCGGGAGCAGGGTCCTGCTTCATAGCCTGGAGCAAAACTGGGCGATTGTTAATGACCTGGCGGTTTGAGGTAAATGGAAGCAGACTCACCAGAGACATCGAAGCTCTGACCGGCCTCGATGCGGCCTGCATTTGGTCGGACACAGTATCTGTTGCGGTGTCAGGTATGCGACTCGGGGAGCTCAGGGAGAGGGGCAGTCATACTGTTTGGGGGCGGTAGTCTTGACCTGCAAAGGTTGTTAGCATGTTCATGATGTCCAGAATAGTGATTGACCTACCTTGAAGGCAACGGGGGTTGGATTGGGGTTCTTGAGAGTCAAGATTTGGGAAACTTCGGTAGTGAAGGGGCCTAGCAGACAAGTCAATTCCAAGCTCTCGCAGCCCCTCTAGTGGCAGTCGGTTGCAGATGACGTACGCTTGAAAGAAAGCTCGAAAGGCTCAATATCGACCGACATGTCGACTGCTTATCGTAATTCAAGTTGAAGTAGTGTTGTGGTGTCGCGCGATGGGTAAGATGGATATTTGCTGTTGTTGGCGGTAGCAAAGTGGAAACGTGTCAACGGCAGATATGGCTGTTGTAGATGAACAAGGGGGAAAGTTAGATTAGAGGTGGGAATAGTTCGAATTACGCAGAGTCAGGTAAGGTACGAGGAAGTTGATCGCGTGTGAACAAGGGGAAAATAGGTGACGAAATGAAAAAGATTAGAGTAGACGTAGTGGATGGAAAGAGAAGGAGAAAGCCAGGTCTGGTCTTGTCAAGTTTGGCAGGTTGACGTTTGTAGGCTACGACGTAATTGCTTCCTACTTCTTGCCTTGCACACCCTATTCCTAGTTGAGCCGAAGCAGCTTCAGGTGGTTGCTACAGTGCACGAGCCATCAGGGGACTGATTTTAAACTCGGTTATCAGGTATTACGCGGGTAATTCATCTCGTCTCTTTATAAATCCAGAGTTCATTTAATATAAGATATCTAGGCAATTAAAAATATATTCATGTCCATGCTTTCAACATCATTCTTCATACTGGACAATCCTTGCTTACCTTGACCATTACGGCATGCAAGAGTTATCCACTTTATTGCCAAGTGATTGTTTGTTGCCCACGAAAAAAAGAAAGTTCCTGGGTTGCCTCGGAATCAATAGCCAACGATGTACAAAAACGGAATTGTTAAGCAGCCAAATAACAAACTGTTCGACTGCAAACATCAAATCAAACAAGTTAGGGCATCATGATTTAGGGAGAGAACAGAAAGGCGCAGTCCTAGCTTAGCGTAGGATTGTGTCGTGCAGCCATGAGGTTCACTCTATTCTTTGTTTAAAAACGCCAAACGATTGAATGAAGTTGGAACAGCAAACAAAAAAAGGGATCAAAGAGCATCTCCACACCAATTAAATCATTGGTATATTGGTGAAGCAATATCCACACAAGATGGATGGTTTGCAGAAAGACCCGAGACCCTTCTTCACTAAGTAGTCCATATGACCCCGCGCCCCCACGAACGCTTCCAAAAAGGTGAACAGCATCATTAGATCTTTCAGATGATACAGATACGTAAGTCTTTTTACAAGAACAAGTCCTTTTGCCGTTCTGTTGGAAATGGATCATAGACTCGAATTTGCAACTTAACCGGTTGTATCACCCGAGAGGAAATTTTTTTCACGTTTGTGAGACCAAGACTGTAGTTTGATACGGAATGCAGTTTTTCTTTAGATGTGGATTCGATCCTACAGACCCCTTACCCTTAGATCTATCGTATAAAAAGTGATGGCGGTTGACGCAATGAAATAAATGACCTACATATGTAGAGACAAATGTCATCACCATATTTTCTAAGCGCTCAACGGGTCCTTGGCGTAGGACTAATGCAATGAAATGTTCCTACCACATCTAAAAATAATCCCGTCCCAAACATTGAATTCTCACGCTACGGAACAAGTCAGCCTACGAGCTGAGGAGAAAAGGTGGATTGCAACACCCAAAGGGAACGCCAGCTGCGGGTAAAGGCCCTCGTATTTGATCGACACGAGGGCAGTGCAACTCCATACTGTTTCCTACGTTACAGTCCTTCTGTTCTGGAATAACCGCTTTGGGCGCAGGAATCTCACTCGCATATCTGGTAGGGCAATTATATGGAACACACAATGGTGTATATAACATGAGGATACCCCTTGGGTCGTGTTCATGTGTCTTGTTACGAAAAAAGAACAACACCTGATACAATATCTACCTCATATTTGTGTCGTTCAAGGTACCTACAAATACCACTTCCCTCCTTCGTGACACACCCATCGTCCCTTCAACAAATTTCTAAACTCCTTCATCATGGGCTGTAACAATTCTCGCCATGTTCTCGAGATGGAATCTCGTCCTGTTCGTCCCGTCACCCTCTCAAGTCATTCAGCTGGTTCTGCAATGACATCCTCCACCATTTTTCAAGACTACCCCGGACTACGCCGACAACAAATCATCGACGCCTTCCAAAAGATGGCCGAATATTTGAACGAGTACGGTGTAAGCATAGATTGTGTCGCTGTCGATGGCGCTGTCAACACCCTCTACCTTCGCTCAAGAGACTCGACCCACGACGTCGAACTTCTTCTCAACGATCCTTCTTCAAAAGAAAGCATCCTTCTCACCAACGCTGCTAGCTTCGCCAACAGTCAAGCCCAAGGTCGTCTTGGTGAGACTTGGCTCAACAGCTCGATGCAACTGTTCTTGCCGCGAAATGTCCAGACCTCTCTTGTCGAAGAAGCAAAAACACAGAACGAGATTGTCTTTGAGCATCAGGGAACAAATGGTGGTCTGAGGGTGTACGCTGCGCCTTGGTCTTTTGCTCTCTGCAGCAAGCTCAACCATTCTTGCGACAACCACAATCGATCAGAAGATATGGATGACGCAGTTGACTATCTCTACCGATATCTCAGCATCACTGGCCAAGACTACATCATGGCTCAGCAGATCAAGGATTGGTGCCAGACATATCACCAGGATGTCTCACGAGAGGTGCTCCGACGTTTGGAAGAGACTTATGCCCGAAAGCATGGAAACTGGCCTATTGTGTGGAATTAATTAGATGGCAAAGACGGAAAGAAGAGAGGCGCTGACTATTCATGGAATGTTAGATTAGACAGCATGATTTCGATGATGATACCCGGGTTTGACTTTACGCCCACTATTTAATGATAATATTGGTTTGGATTTAGCTATGAATACTACTATCTCATTAATTTGACCTGTTCTCAGTTTCCTTGGGGCCGCGTTGCATCTCTCAGTATACTCTATCAGCAATCAACACATATTCCTCCAACAAGTATTACTAGAGCTGATTCGCCTCGTCGTACTCATTCTTCAGTTCTACTGCCCACTTCCCTGTTGCCTTAACTTTTCCCTGCGTCTTTGTGAGGCGCTGACAGCGGGAGCAGGGAGGACCTCAAGATGATGGTTTTTGCCAAGGTGTTGTCATCCTGCTCGGCGACTTCGGCGTTATAATCGTCCGCAGTCGGTTTCTGTAAGAATAGACCACTCTCTGGGACTTGGCTGAGATACTGTTTCTTCATGGAGATACTTCGGTAGCTAGGGTGAGAAGGATTTCTAGCTATCGTTGAATATGACCTTGCTGAATACGGAATTGCATAAAGAACTAACGAATTGTGCAGTGTTGTGCAGTCTGGTTCTGTAGTCGGCGTAAGGAACTGTTGGAGATGTCTGTGGATGTCGTTATCTGGGGTTGTCGAAGTGCCTCAGTAGTAAGGGAGGAGGGCGATGGACGTGACCGCATCCCTGAGGAAGTTGATTACATGGCCACGGTACTTGTACTGTTGACCACGATAAGTCATGACTGGAACATGGACACAAATGCGTGAAGTCAGTCTCTCCATTATATGGCTTAACTTGGTTCTGTTGCAAGTGACGCCTGAGCGACAGAAGTCCTTAAGTGTGTACCCTCTTCAGTGTCTTGGATCGGTCACGCCATTCGTCGCCATACAGGGCTAGGCTCCTGACGGTACTCAACGGGGATCAGGAAGCATCCCATTGTGCTGGTGTAACGCCGCCGCAAGAGCCATAACTGAATTGCCCAGTCTCGTCTCGTCTCCAATGACCAAGTCGCCTAGGAGGAGGTCGCATGAATCGGCTAGCTTTCTTGCTCCTGTTTCTTGCCTTGGTTTCAGTTCATGACCCTCTTGTATATCGGGAAAGTTGAGATCGACGGAAAGTACCCGAGGTGCGGTTTTTCGTTAAATGCGCAGTGAATCTCCGAGTAATTCTTCGTGCGGTCGTTGAGTAGTTCATGGGTTTCCAGCAACAACTCCCTGTGAGAGACAGGGCAGTTAAAAACTCATCTGGAGACCAGTCGACAGGAGTAAACATGGTGCAGCTGCCAGCGAGATTGCTGAGCCCCCCTGACCTTCTTGGAGTCATGGCCAGCGATTTGTGTGTGTGTTTGTAACCACAGCGACTGTCAGCTTTTTGGCAAATATTGATAAGATTATCTGTGGACTGACTGAATACAGCCTGCAATGATCTTCTTGGAATGCTCCGGTATCTAAAGTCTACCGCTCGTGAAATATCGCTCCCTGTTGACAGTTCAATAAGTAAGTGCTTGGTGCCCTTGACTTGAACGTCCTTGCCAGAGAACGGCACGCTCACCATGGACTCAATCTAAGAAAAGTTGGTACTGAAGAGATGAGGGTGTTAACTGGTTACTCACGTACAACTTCGGAGTCTTGGTGGCTTAGGACTTAATTCGAATGATCCCAAAGTCAGGCTCAAGGTCGTTGACGAGCACCAGACGGTAAACAAGGATGAATCTGAGGCAAAAGAGCACGGCTGAGGCAATTCAACCGGGCCATCGCCTGGCCCGCCCCTTGCTCCCCCATATGGACCTCCTGCTAAGATGTGCGTCAGAAGAATGTTTGAAGCCTGGCTGTTTGATGTATAATTATTTGACTTACGAGAAGCTCTGCCCTCCGTCCCAGAAGCGATGCAGCCTTTCCGCAGTTCTCACTGAAAATACATGTACATGTTCTCCTGTTTCCGTCGATGTTCTGGTAGAACTCGGGGCAGAAGATGTTCTTGCCGGGGATCTGGGCAGGAAAAAGTCGACCGCAGGCGCGCAACCACAAGGATCGTGAAATGGGTCAAAAGGTTTCCCGCAGTAACGATTCATGACAAGGGGAAAGTTTGAAGAGTAATGCAAGAAAGAAGAAAGAAGAGAAGCGCTCTGTTTTGAATAATGAAAGGCCATCATGCAACCTGGTTGGAAGCCTGAAGCGCTGCGCCCTTAACCTCAAGTGAGGGAGAGGTCGAATTCACTGAGCTCGACGAGGAAATCCTCAGTGGCAGCAGGTTCAAGAAGGTAGAAGGTCTGAAGGCGAATTAGCATCGCGTCTACAGGACTGTCAAGCTTAAAGGCTCAAGGGATACTCACTCAATACTATCGTGCGGGTAGACAGCTTAGACCTCGCGCAAGGGGAAAGGACAACCAGATTTCGATATTCTTTTGATGATGATTGAGATAGCGACAAAACACTAAGATCTCGATGAATTTCTTGATATCTTACTGTCCAAGATATAAAATATATAGATGATGGATGTCGAACAGATGGTGAAGTCCGGAGGAGAGCTGGGAATTTTATAGCTGAGCTGGCCAGGATTTCGGATAGCTGTTTATCCCATGCCGATAGGTAACTGGAGTGAAATGCGTATGTGAAGGCAACAGAATGATTAACAAGCATGATGATTGGGGTAAAGTTATTCTAGGCATCCAAAAGGAATCATGTTTGGTGGTCGTCAGAGAACTTTGGTGGAGAAGCAAAGGTGAAGCCAGGACCAGTAGCTTCGCCAATTGCCTACAAATCATACAACAAATAGCAGATATCTAGAGATTTTTTCACTCTATTGCGATGCTATCACCTTGTATTCGCATTGATTGCCATGATTGTACCTATCACGCTTCAATACGAAAGCAAATACATGCAGTATAGACGGGTAGTAGCTTGCTTTCTCGGGTGTATCGACATCTATGCACGCAGCTGGCCTGCCTAACTGGTCATCAACAGTGTTTGAAGTATATTTATCAAGGTTTTCTGATGTGTTTTAAGCCAACCTTTTGACAAGTGCCTAAAATACCTTGCATTCATGTAAAATGACCATTGTCAAAACATGATGGAAGCAGTGTAATGAGAGATGAGGTGGTCGGAGGTTGCTAACCGTAGTAAGCCCGGTCCAAACAGGTGTCACGTCACTGAGGCAGCGGCTTGAATGACGTCTCTTTAGGCTTTACCTAAGCTCAGGTCCCAACTTTATCATTCATCTCAGCTAACTCTCACAGTCAAAGTTTACGTTGAGGGCATATTTAATTGACTAACTCAAGAGGATTTATCTTGACCATATTTCTCGCAAGTACTTAAACCATTAGGATCCTATTCTCACCATCAACAACTCACTACTTGCCCCTCAACAAACCCCACTACCAACAAACATCACCACCAACATGCCTTCCGATCTGGATACCCTGCTCGATATGGGCTTCGACAAGGAGCGCTCCGAGATTGCTGTTAAGAAGACAGGAGGCCGTACGTTTTATGATTTCATCGATTTCTGCCCAAACTAACTTGAGTAGTCCAGGGTGCTCTCCAATGGCTGGAGGATAACCAGGACAAGCCTATTGATGAGATCAAGGCTGCCGCTGCCGCCAAAGAGGAAGATGACGAGGACGATGACACCGAGGCCAAGATCAAGGAGATCGAAACTGGCAAGGCCGCTTCTCTTGTCTGCAATGAGTGTGGCAAGAAATTCAGAAACCATGATCTGGCTACCTATCACGCGACCAAGACGTACGTTGAACTTGCACATGTTCAAGACAGCTTGACTAACAAAGCATACAGTGAGCACACAGACTTTTCCGAATCAACAGAGGAGATTGCTCCCCTGACTGAAGATGAGAAGAAGGCTAAGCTCGAGGAGCTCCGTGAGCGCCTCCAAGCCAAGAAAGCCGTTCAGTCTGCCAAGGACAAGGAGGATCATAAGCGTAATGAGGTAAGCAGATTCATAAATTCACTCCCAGAATCCAAATCTAACGTGTTACAGCAAATTCGTCAAAAGTCCACCAAGGAAAGCCAGGAAGCTAAGGAAGAATTAGCCCGCAAGCAGGCCGTCAAGGAAGCTGCAGCAAAGCGACAGGAGAAGCTAGAGGACCAGGAAGCCAAGCGACGCATCAAGGCCAAGATCGAGGCCGACAAAGCCGAACGACGACGAAAGGCAGAGGAGGCCAAGGCAGCCAGAGAGGGCCGCGCTCCCCAGGCTGAGGCCGCTGCTCCTGGTGGCGCCGCTCCTGGTGGCGCCGCTGCTGTTGCTGCTGCGTCCAAGCCCAAGAGCAACCACAATGAGGCTCGACTTCGCCTACAGACCGAAGGCGGAAACATTACCAAGACTCTGCCCGCCGAGACGACATTGTTCGAGTTGGCGCAGCAGGTTCAGAGCGAGACAGGAAATGCTGTCTCCAGCTTCACGACTACTTTCCCACGAAAGACCTTTGAGGGCGACGTTGACTTCTCAAAGACCCTGAAGGAGGCCGGATTGGTTCCTTCTTCTGTTCTGATTGTTAAATAGATTATGACGTAGATGTGAAAGTGTGCATGGCGCGGCGTTGATGGGAACAGCAGAACATGGGCATGGTGCTACGAAAGACAAAAACTACCCCTAAGTAGGGATAGAAGTTGGCAAAGAGGTGCTTAATCCTCTGGTCACAATCACAGACACTTTAGACGGTAGTCACAATTTGAAGAAACCCATATTGAACTCAAACCACCCATGGCGGGACTTTTTTTTTATCAGAGCCTTTGAATTGACCAATTCTCCCTCCGCGAAACTCCGTTGAGCGCATTCATCATAGCGTCGTATGAAAGAAGCGACTCTGTCCAGGGCGCAGGGTATAGTGCCCGCATTCCATCCTTTATGATCGATTGATTGGAAACCCCGAAGCCATGCAGTCGAAGTACAAAGAACAAGGAAACAGTCGTAGCGGCGTAACTTCTTAGTCGAAGAGACCGAAGCCCATATCCTCGTCAGACTCCTCCTTCTCTGTAGTGATTGTCAGCAATCCATTGGTGTATTCCGGGTTTCGTGGTGCAACGTACCCTCCTCCTTGGCCTCCTCAGGAGCAGCCTCGTCAGCGGCACCACCAGCAGCGGCGGCACCACCGGCGGCAGGGGCAGCAGCGCCACCGGAGCCGACGTTCACGAGAAGGTCCTTGACATCCTTGCCCTCGAGAGCCTATACACACAATATCCGTCAGAAAATCGAAGTCCAGGGAGATGATAAACGCGCGAATCGCTGGGGTGGTCGGTTTCGTACCTTGGCGAAGATGGAAGTCCAGATGGGCTCAACCTCCTCGACCTTAGCGGCCTTGATGAGGGTCTGGAGCTTGTCGGCCTGTTGAGAGTCGCGATGACGAGGTTAGCGATCACGCACACACAAACAACAATAATTCGTAGAAATCGCGGGGCATCATATGATGCTGGCCCGTAAAGTGAGGAAATTAACGTACGGTGATCTCAAGACCGTCGTCGGCGAGGATCAGGGCCGCGTAGGACGAAGCGAGCTCGGCGTGAGACATTGTGAATGGATTTTGGCGTGCGGGTGGGAGATTGTAAAGTCTGCACGAAGTCGAGTCGTTTGATGGTTTGAAGTCGGAATATCACCAAAATGGAGCTTACCACAGAAATCCTGGTCGAAATTCGGTTGGAGGGCTTTCAAGACCTAAAAGTGGGAAGGAGCGATGGATAATCCGGTCCGTTTGTGAGTCAGGCCTTTTATTGGTCTGGAACAAACGAACCAATCACGTAAACGTCCAAGACTGCCTTGCACCTTACCCCACCTTTAGCTGTAGCCCCCACCCGTTGTCGTCAGGCTCGAGCTCAATGCCGCCTGCAGCAATCCATGGATCCTTGGGAGACAGGCGGGTCATAAAAAACAGGGACTGGAAAAAGAACAGACGAAAATACTAGTGTTCTTTCAGGCGATGTACTCACCAAGGCTGATCCAGTATTTCCATCAACCACTAACCAATACCGGCTTTTATGCGACGTACCTCGAGGTCTAGGCTTTCTATCTCATGAGTGCAGTGACAGCATAGTTGATCAATGCAAACACTTCAGCTTCGTCGCTGTACAGTAATGATGGTACTTTTTTCTCTATAGTCTACTACTATCAGTCCATTGTCATTACCTCCTCATTCCTTACTAGTGACATACCATACTTTGCGCCTAGTTCATCACAACCTCCCCACCAAAGGTCTGGTACAACTCAACTTCCCTGAATCTCTAGCCCCGCCGCCACCTCATCGCATTTCATCACTCCACGGATCTTCGGGCAAGTTACGGAGCAAGAACAGCAATCGACCTTAATTCTAAACACCGCCAACTCATCCCTTTACGTCTCATCAAAGCTACCATCATACTTCTGCAGTAACCTCGAATAGCTGCCACCATGGACACTCCAGCAATCCCAATGCCGCGGGATCCCCGCGAACAGGATATCCTACAGAAGCTAACGATGATTCGAGATCGTCTACTGCTTCTTAAGCAAGATCGTACAAACTACATTCGAACTCAGGATGTTATGCCCTTGTTCGATGAGACCATGGACCAGGTCAAGGATTTGACTGTCGTACGGGCGGAGACAGGCATCAAAGAGGAGAACAGATGTATGTCATTGAATCCAATCGCGAACACATTATCACGATACTAACAATTCTCTTTCAGTGGACAAGGTCCTAGAAAGCTGTTTCCAATTGCTTTCCCTATTCTACCTTACTATCGGACGAAACAACGAGGCGCCAGCGACCTACGCTATGACATCAACCGTTAAGCGACTCCTAGATCACCTTAACGAAGCCGAACTCTACTCCGCCAAAGATCTTGGAAGCATTAAGACAACGCTCGAGGATCTATCCAAAAACATTCGCGACGCTGCTAGTGACCCGTCCCCCGACAAGCGACACCCTCCTTACATGCTCACACTGCTTGAGAACCGTGTCGAACTGTGCAACTCGACCCTATCAAGACTCCAAAAGCGACTGGACAGATTACCGGATTATCTTCTGGAAGCTCACGAGAAGCTCATTTCGATCTTGCGATCGATTTCGCTAGCCAACACCAAGTCCAAGGTAACCAAGCTTGGTGGTACTACTGCAAGCTGTAGGACTAACGTGGAATAGTTTTCGACATCCGAGGTTAAGAAGCTACGGAACCAAATCTTGGAAATTGGTGAAAAGCACAATGGTGGAACGTTTACTGCGGAAGACGGTGCTTTGGAGGAGGGTGGAGAAGTAGTCCGAGACTTGTACAACCGCTGTGTCCGCTGGTCGGATCTAGTTCTTGAGAGGTGAGTCGCGCATTACATTAAGAGAAATCCTACTAACAATTGCAAGGCAAGGAGAGGTGGCTGATCAATGGCGACCAATCTACGACGCCCTCATTCACATTCGCAACGATCTCGAGAAACTTTCCCTCACACAAGCATGGTCACTCCGAGAGACCGACCTGTACGATTTCCAACGACAACTCGACAGAATTGACGAGAGCCGAGGAGACAATGGTAACTGGGTGGACGACCGGGGGCGATCCGCAGACCTTTGGACTCAGCGAACTTTCCTCTACCTCATCCGACGATCATACGCCTACATTTACTCATTCATGCTGGCATCTGAACCAGTGTCTGAAGCTCTGTTGCCTGTCTACAATCAGTTGCAGACACTGAAGCGATGTTTGATCGAGGTCAAGAACAACGGAGGTGTTTCATCAGTGCGAGAGCTTTACCCTTACAGCATGAAGGTATGTCTATATGCGTTTAATTCTGTATTTTGACCAGTAACTAATCGAGAACAGCTCAACTCCCTCGACAACATGAAAGTGGACGGCAAGTTTGTGGTGAACGGTGATATCCCCGAAGGACAAGGCAGTGTTACAGAGCTATTGCACGAGTGCTTTGATCTCAACTACGAGCTGAGAGTTGCCGCTGAAGAGGCAAACAGCAACGAAGATTAGATCTTGATATGCAGCAGTGGCAGATCACTCTATACGTTACGGGACGAGATGTTCTTTGGGGGAACTGGTGTACGATGGCGTTACTACTACTTGAATTGGAATTCTGTTGGTGGGCAGCTCTTGCTTTTTGGTATACTTGGGTTTCCTTCAGTAAAGCTAATAATGAAATATATGTATAGGGGCTTGGGTTTGCACTTTTTAAGCAGGCACGCGATAGGAAATGGAAACTTGGAGATCGAGCTATCAGTAGCAGCTGGACAGGGACAGGAATATATTGTTAACTGATTATTTGCTTTAACTATTGCTGATTTAAGTATGATAATCTAACCGTACTTTTCAATCTTTAAAAAGCGCATCTTTAAAGCACAGCAATCTTGACAGTATAAGACCAATAATATAAAAATAAAATGTCAACGATTATACGATCACTGGGGCATAATATTGTCATCCATTATACGGCCTTAGTGATCGCATTATTGATGTATTATTGGGTTCATACTGGGAAGGTTACTGCGTCTTTTGAAGTTTGGAACGCACCGTTCAATCAGAAGATTAGAAATAAGATTAGTTGAATCTAAAAGCAGCCTTGAAAGGATATATTTGGACCTTTATATCGCATTAGATTGTGGTTTCGAAAATTCTCTTGAGGTACTTACCTTGTCCATATCCCAAACACCTGAAGTGGCATAGATATCCTTGCTTAATGCCTCTCGCACCTGTTCTACGGAATCGGCGATGCAGACAAGTGTGCTTCCGGCGAAATCCAGACTGCTAGGGCTATCGTCTTTGGGAACAGAGTTGAGGATGGCACCTAATGATAGATCTTGTATCAGTATTTGTAGAGACGAAGAGGTAAAGGTGCATGTACATACCTCCCATCTTCCAGTTTCCACTCTCAACATTAGGCTTCATGTTTTCAAAATGCTGTCTGTACAAGTGATCAGCAACCCCTCTCAAGTAGTACTCTTCAAGGGATACTTACCCCCGAACTTCAAGTCGCTTCTCAAGCATATTGGGCTTATCATGAACGACGACAAGAAACTCGTACTTTCCAGGAGGAACGGAAACTGCGCCTGAAGCCATTGTTCGAAGTGTTCGTGTAGTGAAATAGGGTGCAGGTTTGGTCCTGATGAGTGACGAAAAGAGACGAGAGGATGACATTGTAGAGAATGTGTACGTTTGCTTATATACTCTTTGGTAATAAGAGGTGCGTGTGGATTGCGGGGTGGGAGTTGTTGTCGGGTGTGGGGTGGCGGAGGTTGAAGGGCGTGGTGGTTCATCGTGGGTACGCCCTTTAATGCATGGAACTGGGGTAAGAGGATATTTACGGCGATGGCATTGGTCTTGTGTATTTTTGGTAGATTGAGAGTAACGAGAGGATTTAGTTGGCTGAAATTGGGATATTTGGAACTGATTTGCTATTTTGTATCAATGATTATGCTTCAGGGTAGGACTACCAACATGAAATTACCTGTGTGACCTACAGAGGCTGTCATGATGAGACAACCCAGGCAGATAAAGCATAATGTTTAGGAAAGCATGATATTTAAAATGCTTGAGAATATGTCTTCATAACAGGGTATTGAATTGATGTTTGGTAGTTGACTTGGATATATTATGGCAATGTAACCGAGCTCAACCGATACATTCATAATACCGAATGTAATAAGTAGTCACAGTAGCCAACCTATTTTACTTGTCTATATTGCTAAGAATCATCTTTCTCGCTACTATCTTACATGAAATCCCCAGACAGGCGTCCCTGGTATCTCGCATCCTGATACCCACGCATAACTTCCCAAATACACAATAATCGCTGTTCACCAATCTTTAAGCCTGTGCAGTTTGGGCCCGAAATTCGTGACTCTCTCCAATAGGCTTGGAAAAGTCCAACTTCTTGATATCGTGTTTAATGTTTCGAGTCTTGACACCAACAGCGACAAAGACTATTGTAACCAGTAACTCAGGAACCAGACCAAGACATACTTCGATTGCTTTTGAAGACAGGAAACCCGAGTTTGGGTCTGAGATTTGGAGTTGGAGAAAGGCAATCGCGTAGCTAAGGCGGAGGGCAAGGAGAGGAAGAGCGATAAAAACTGCGTACAAGAGCTTGTCAAGTTAGCAAAGTACATGGCGAAGTGTTTTTGGAGTCAAATTACCAGCATACCACCACGAAGAGAAGGTACAGAGCCATTTCGAGATGATCGAGTTTTGCCAAGGGACCACAAGGACCAGACAGCAAGTAGGAACCATGCCAGTGCGATGATTGCAGATGCGACTTTGAGAAGAGTCTTATTGGTTGAAACATCATTCCCCTTTTGGAGATTGATCACAGATACGATGATGAGCGCCATAGCTGCTCCAACCAAAGCATGATACTGGACTTCGAGAACGATATCGAAGCGTCGGTTAAGTCGGGGGTTTGTAGCTCGTCGACTAATAAACTGTCAGCATTTTGCTAATTCGTTGGCGGGAACAGTACTTACGCTTCGTGCAAGATACCAGACGCTGCAAGCAATAAAGGAGAAAGACCAATACTGTTGAGAATAACTGTTCCTGTCGAGCTACTGGCGCCGTGAAGACCAATACCGCCTGTGACGATTCGAAGGACACAAAAGATTTGGACGTATAACCAGCCGATAAAACCAGTCTTTCCATGTTTGAAGAGACAGTATATGGCAGGTTGAACCAATATGATATAAAGGGCTAGTTTAGCCGCGGCGATTGAGTCTGTCATTGTGACAAATGGTGTTCAGTGTTGTAAGTGGATTGAAGTAGAGAGTAGTTTAATCAGGAATGTGAATGCGAAAAACATAATGATTTATGGTCTTTATTATACTTGCAAAAACATTCGACTGGCTGCCTCTTCTATGCTAAGTTCTATACTCTTGTGGCACTGCTTTCAATGGTTGTCGTTTAGAGAATGTCTTGCGACATGTTTATTGGTCTAAGAGGTTAAACGAGAACGATGATGATGGAGGAACGGGCCTTTTCTAGTGTTTGGATCTACAGTCAGATAGATATAAGCGCCATAGGGCTAAGAACTTTCCAAGACCCTGGCGCGCACCCTTGAACAAATCCGTCTGATGAGATAGGAAGGCTGTGTTTAAGATTGCCGTTTCCAATTGGTAACAGGGCAGTCTTACACATAGGTTCTCATAGTATGGCCGTTGTAGGACCTAAATTATATGGACTTTGGACTTGGGGGATTTCTTTTTGTAGCTGATACTTGATCAACTCTACAAAGATGACCTTTGTATTATATCTTTGTACTTAGATCAGAATGTCTTATTACTCTCTTCAATTTAGCTGTAAATAATAGTAAGATGCTTATTAAATTGTGTTGATGCACATCTACAACTCCTGCAGACTATCGGGTACCGGCACAGGCTGACGAATCATTAGCCTTTGTCGATCTCGTTTACAGCCACGATCCAACGCTCGTCGTTCTCGTTCAATCTTACATCTCAAACAACAACTACAAAAACATTTGTTCATTTATTGTAGACATGGTTGGGTCTCAGCAAAAGCCGCGTAAACATGCACCCAAGCTATTCCACAAAAAGTCTCGTACTGGTTGTCAGCAATGCCGGAGTCGCCGTGTGAAGGTATGGTGACATCTGACCCTTCTATTAGTTGTCGATAAGTGGATGTTCAACTTACAATACTCAAGTGTGACGAGTCAAAACCTATCTGCTCGCACTGCAGTCGTCTTGAACTATCCTGCATCTATGATCGCGCAGTTTCCGATAGCAACTCATCGTCTCCAACTGAGAATGGAGGCCAACAACAAAACAAAAGCGTTGTAGAAACCATTGTTGACCCTCCCGAATCAGAATCTCGAAGAAAACAAGAACTCAGTCTATTTCATCAGTACATGACTGATACCGGCCCATCTATTGCTCTGGATCCTATCACAGCTCATTTCTGGGTAACGACCATCTGTCGCCTGGCGCTTAAATCCGATGCTACGCTTTACTCGATATACATGGTCGCTGCGATGCACACCGACAAGCGCAGCAACTTTACTGATACCAAAGCCCTCGAAACAAGCCAAACTTACCTCAACATGACTATCCGGGAGCATCACAAGGATGTTACTGATATCAACGCGGAAAACGTAGAGTATATCTGCTTGACCTCGAGTATGCTGCGCGTCTACGGTTATACTCGACTACAGCGTCGCTCGCTGGAACCTTATACGCCTCCCGTGGACCTTTTGCGTATTACAGGGACGAGTACTGCGCTCTTCCGCAACGCGTGGGATATCATACGGGATAACCCTGAGTCGGTAGTATACCAGATGATCGAAAGTGCCGCGGATCTTCTAGAGGACAACGATAGTAATGAACTACCCGACGATTTAAAACCCTTGTTAAGCCGAGAGAAACCTCACGAGGTTGAAGAACCGTGGGATGAAGAAACAGAAGATGCATACGTGAGAGCGCTGAGTCTCATAGGACGCATACGGAATTTCATGGATAGGGAAAATATCAACAAGAGTATTGGACGACGAACTATTGTTTTCCCTATGATGATGCGCCCGAAGTTTGCGGATCTGGTGGAGGAGCTTCGTCCGAGGGCGCTTGTTATTCTTGCGTATTACTTTGCTCTATTGTCCATGTTGAGTGAGTTTTGGTGGATTGGGGATTCGGGTGTTAGAGAGATTAGAGCGATTGAGAAAATTTTGCCAGATGAATGGCAGGATTGGCTTGAGTGGCCAAGAAGTATATTGCAGTTTCAAGATACTGTGATGGATGGTAATGTATAGAATGTTGCAGAAGTTCCGATATTTCTTTAGAGTTCTTCGTCCAAGATATGCCACTATTCAGATTTATTCTTTACTGATGGTATATTATTCATAATGATTACGAGATATATATCAAATGAACTGATTTATGGTGATTTAGCTCGGCCAAGCTTTTGTCATGCCAGGTACAGGTCTCATGCCTTCGTTCTCGTGAGCAGAATTTACTACAAGTCCGATATACGGCGGATAAAGGCACAGAATAAAACGATGAGGTCAGATGATGGAATATTTGACAGGGGTAGCTCTGTTAAGCGAGTGATGGACCCTGACTAGGCTTGACTAACAACAAGGCCCTGTTTTGAACATCATCGTCATCGGAAAAGTTGATAACCGTAGACTAGGATAATTCTGAGTTAATAAAGTATGCCAATGTCTATCTAAATCTGATACTATCACAGAGCCTGTGTAGAGCTTTAATCGTATTGGGATCTGGAGTATAAGGTACATTGTATGCTATCATGTTATACAAGACCCATGCTCGTGATATGGGGCATGGTGCCATGATGAATGTCTGGGGTACATCATATCTGGGGAGCATCATCACAACCAAAATACTTTTTAATTATCTTTTCAATTTTTTAATGTAAAAATTCTCTCATCATGGGTTCAAAATATGAATCATAACTTGATTAATAGGCAGCTCCCGGACATCGTGGAGACTCGAAAGCCGGACATGCTCCGCTTCAGCTCCGAAATGATGCAGTATCGGTCTTTATTCTCCGTATTTGCCTCCCAAGCTTAAAGACCTCAATCACAGAAAGGGCAAAAAGATATCAAATACAGAGGTACCAAGAGTAGTTTAGAGTCGGAGAATACGTATTTCTAGTGCCTCTTGTTAATGAATCGTCTCATGAGTTGTCAGGCCATTTATAAGTCGCGCAATCGTTGGCGGGGAAAAAGAGATAGGTAATACAAGTAGATGCGGGATGGACGGAATGGGTCATGTCAGTGGAGGGTCCTTTCTATATCCGTATAATGATATAATGTCTTTCACCCTCTCTCAATTTTAACTACTCTCATTCTCAGTCATCATCAAAACAAACACTCATTCCATGCCCTACCTCTCATCTGAAAACAATTACCTCTTCTCTCCATACATCTCACGAAACCACGCCACAATGGCACCCTCAGTGTATATCCTCCTACAGCGCGACACAGAGTCCACAGTCATAATTTCCTCGGTTTATCTCGACCTCCAAGACGCCAACGCCGCGCTTCTTCAACTCGCACAAGAAGCAGGCGTCGACCCTGCAACTGTCAAGCCCACTGCTGCTGCGACTGGTTCAGATCAGCCCTCGCTTGTCAAAGAACCTTTACGGTGGGAGGCAGCCGATGGAACTGCCGCTTGGGTTGAGCGTCACACTGTAACGAGTCGCAAGACGCATGTGACAGGCTCTGCTGGTGCGGCCGATAAGCCTGGGTTGAAGAGAAATGACAGTCGGTTGTATGTCAACGATGACGATGATGTTATCGAGGTTACCGACCATGATGGACACTACGACTAAGATGGAATCAACGACTTGGGATTAATGCGGAGGATATTGGCCCATGGAAATTCATGCTAGACAGCGTGGAAGAAATTCGATTTTATAGCAATTCAAAGCAATGTTTATCAATCTTTTCTACAACATCTATCCGGCTTCTAGTACACTTCTACCCATACGTCCTGTAATCTACGAAATCACACATTTTATGCGACGCAAACCATCACGTTTACAGCTTGGCCTTAGGAGCAGTCATCATGGTCTCGGCCACGATTCTCCTCTGAATCTTACCAGTCGCCGTCTTGGGCATCACCTCGGTAAAGTAAACCTGCACATTCATTAGCATTTGCGTCGGCCATTCATTGTAGTTGTAGAAACTCACCTTCTTGGGTACTTTGAACTTGGCAGAGCGCTCTTCGACCCAAGCCTTGAGTTCCTGAGCGGTCAACTTCTCGCCGTTCTTGAGAACGACGGCAACACCAATATCCTGGCCGTAAACCTCGTCGGGGATCGCAAAGCTGACTGCCTCGCTGATCTGGGGATGGCGGGTGAGGACGTTGTCGAGCTCGATGGGGCTGATCTTCTCGCCACCCTTGTTGATGAGCTCCTTGATGCGACCGGTGATGATAATGTAACCATCCTCGTCCTTCTTGCCCTGGTCACCCGTTCGGAAGAAGCCGTTTTTGTGGTAAGATTCGGCGTTGGCCTTGTCGTTGTTGAGATATCCCTTGGTGACGTTCTCACCAATGATGCAGATCTCGCCCTCGGCACCCTGAGGAACCTCCTCACCCTGATCGTTAAGAATCTTAACATCGACGCCTTGGCCGATACCGACGGTGCCAGCCTTTCTCTTGGCAGGAGGGAGAGGGTTGGAGGTCATCTGGTGAGCTGCCTCGGTCATGGCATAAGCCTCGAGAACGGGAGCGTTGTAAGTCTCCTCAAGCTGCTGGAAGACAGTAGGCGACAGCGGGCTGGAGCATGATCGGATGAAGCGAATATTGGGCTTCGGGCTTGGGGGAGGGTTCTTGAGCAAGATTTGATGAATCGTGGGAACGGCTGTGTACCAATTGGCCTTGTGGGTGTTGAAGTCGGTCCAGAATTCAGAGGCGGAGAACTTGGTGGGAACAACCATGGAACCGCCGGTAAAGAGAGGAGCCAGGAGACCGCAGAGAAGACCGTGGACGTGGAACAGAGGCATGACCAGCATGGTTCGGTCCTTGGGTGTAAGGTCGTATGTGTTCTTGATGTTGTCTGCGATATGGTTAGTCATGGTGGAGGTGAGTTGTGATGCGACGTACTCATGGTTCGGGTCAGGTTGCGATGAGTGAGGGGAACCTAGCGCTGTGAGTATGAGATATCGCGACGTCATGTCAGTTTACTTACCACCTTGGGGCGCGATGTAGTGCCACTGTGAGCTTGTTAGTTAAGTTCTTATCGCGAATCTCATGAAACCAACCTAGTGTGTAGAATAAGAGCGACATCGTCAGGCTCAGCAGTAAGAACCTTTTCCTTCTTGCCCTTCAAGAGACCATAGTCCTTGACATCGAGGGCAACCTCCCCCTTGGCCTCATCCCAATAGCACTCAGCGACAGCGGCGTTGAACTTCTTGGCCGCCTTTACGCTAGGTGCACCGGCCGCCCAAGCGCCTCTGGGAACGAGGACGATGGCGCTCTTGACGTCGTCGATATAAAACTCAAACTCATCCTGCTTGTAAGCCGGGTTGAGAGGCGCGGCAATTCCACGCTGCCAGGAAGCGGCGAGAAAAGAGACGATGAACTCGTAGGAATTGACGAGCGCGATGGAGACGGGGGCAGCTTTTGTGATGCCCAGATCAGCGAGCTTGCGCTGGAAAGCTGAGACGTCGGATTCGAGGTTGGCGTAGGTGACGGTGAGAGATTTGGGCTTTGAAGGGATGATGATGGCTTCTGCGAGCGGATTGCTCTTGTTGATGGCGGTTTGAAGGGTAGACATTTTGGTGATTAATTGATTATGAGTTTAGATGAAGAAGAGAAAGATAGTAAAGTAAAGTTGAGCTAGCGGAAAGAGATCTGAACCCGATACAACGGTTATTAATCGACAACGGTCTAGCACCACTGATTGTTATTCTTAGTAGCTATCTAAACAAGGGGAATTCCTCTCTTAAATCTCCCTACCATGACGTGCTTGGCCTTGTCCTTTGATCCATTTTGTCGCGGCCAAGGGTCCGGGGGTGTTTCGGCTTCCATCCGAGCCGACCATCCACTGAACTATGCCCACTGCCAAGGTGAATAGTCAGGTAGTTTACGCGTCTTTTTATTGCCCTGAGATTAAAAGTCAATTGATTGAGATAGAGGCTACTGAGTTTGGTAGTTGACAGGTTTCGTAATGAGACTTGGTATGATGTAAATAACAAGGGTCCATCCTGTTCACTGGAACCTGCTAAGAATCAGTGGACTTTACTCCATAGATGCAATGCAATCAATGGATGGATACTACTAAGGTGCCTGTTGACGCCCAACTTAGTGCCTGCATCTGGCATGACTACAGTGTCTCAATATCGCTATTTACTGAGAGACGTCAAATCTGTACCTACATGAAATGTAACCCTGACAAAGAAAATGCCATGTGGCTCTCAACCCGTACATCGGCGACTTGTGTCTTCAAAGCCCAGGCAGGTTAGGTCAGTTACCTCCACGATTTGGGTCATTAAATGCCCCCATCTCCTTCCATTGGCGGGGTTTTAGGCTGCCTGCATCCTGCATTTCAGGGGGAGGACGACGCTAGAGCCTAAACCGAACCCTCCACTCGGTTGCGGTTGCGGTTGCGGGGCGCGGGTTCGGTTTGGTTTGGCGCCTCTCTTCTCTCCAACTTTGGTCTAACTTGATCGTGTACAGTAACTTTCCATCTTACAAGCTGCGCCTCAACTTTCCCCCGCTATTCATCCATTAGTATTGTGTGTCTTTAAACATTCTCAACAACCACCAATTCCAATCATCTGTCGACCCAAACAATCTTTGGCTTCGGCTTTGGCTTCTCATTGATCGCGACACCTTTACATGCCTTCATCTCATCCGCGCCGACCGGTTACTCCCCGCTCCTGAGAACGATCCAATACACAATCGCCCATCATGGCTGAGGTGGACGTTATGCCCACCTTTGGCTCAGAGCTCAAGGTTGGTTGCCTCTTTGACCCGTGGCAGCCGTGTATTCGTGGGATCGCTTTCCGGCCTCCTTTGATGCTTTGCGCCTGCATTGAAAGCCATCTCTTGACAACTTTGTTCGCATCGCTAACAGACACGTCTTACTAGGATGGCTTCAAACCCGCAAACGTGTGGCTCGGCCATGGCATTGCCTGGCTAGACGAAATACAACAGTTCTACCGAGAGCGCGCCGCCATAGAGAAGGAATATAGCGCAAAACTTATGGCACTTTCCAAGAAGTACTTTGATAAGAAGAACAAGAGGACAGCTCAGCTCAGTGTAGGAGATACTCCTGCCATGACACCTGGTTCGCTTGAGAGGTATGCCCAAACCCCATGAGTTGACGTGTTGACTTCATACTGATCACCTTGCGACATAGCGCTTCCTTGACCACATGGGTTACTCAGCTTACCACGCTCGAGTCCCGCGCAGGCGAACACGACAAATACGCCAATAACCTCGTTTCCCAAGTCGCCGAGCCCCTCAAGTTCTTCAGCGGCCGTTTTGAAGAACTGCGCAAGCGCCATTCCGATTATGCCACCAAACTCGAACAGGAGCGCGATGCTCAATATGCCGCGCTCGCCAAGACCAAGGGCAAATATGACAACGTATGCCAAGAAGTCGAGGCCAAGCGCAAGAAGACCGAATCGCATTTCGACAAGACCAAGGCGCAGAACGCCTACCAACAGCAGATCCTCGAGATGAATAATGCCAAAAACACTTACATCATTGCGATCAACGTTACGAACAAGCAAAAGGAGAAATATTATCACGAATATGTACCCGAAGTTATGGATAGTCTGCAAGATCTCAGCGAGTTCAAGACGACAAAGTTGAACAGCTTCTGGACAATTGCGACCAACATCGAGTCCGACATGCTGCAGCAGAGCAACGGCATGGTTCAGCACCAAGGTACCGAGATTCTCAGGAATTTGCCTCACCTCGATTCCATGATGTACATCCAACACAACATGGGCGCTTTCAACGAGCCAGCCGACAAGCATTTCGAGGCCAGTCCTGTCTGGCACGACGATGGCACTATGGTGGTGGACGAAACAGCAAAGGTCTTCCTACGCAACGTCTTAGGTAAATCCAAGTCGCAACTGGGAGAACTGCGGAGAGAGGTCGACAAGAAACGAAGAGAAGTCGAAGGCGTTAAGCAGCTAAAGCAACGAGTTCGGGAAGGAAAGGAGAAGAAGGATGAGGTTGAGGTCGTCCGTACGCTCTTCCAAATGCAAGAGAACCTGCATTCTATCGACCGTCAGCGGTTGACAGTTGAAGTTGAAACATCAACCATTACATCCGTGGTAGGCGACGTGACATTGGGCGCCAAGAACCACAACTTTAAGGGTCAGACATTCAAGATACCCACCAACTGTGACCTTTGCGGAGAAAGGATTTGGGGTCTAAGCGCAAAGGGCTTCGACTGCCGAGACTGTGGTTACACATGCCATAGCAAGTGTGAGATGAAGGTTCCCCCTGACTGCCCTGGCGAGCAGACAAAGGATGAGCGAAAGAAGCTCAAGGCCGAACGCCAGGATGCTGCGAACAACAAGCTCCTCAAACCCAGCGCGACCATGACATCAGTGCACTCCAACACTTCAGATGCCCCTGAGCTTACACGATCAAATACCATGACCTCACTTAGCTCACACTCGGCACGTCCATCGATATCAGGATCCGCCTCTGGGCAACTAAGCCCTACGGAAGAGACACCGCCAGAAACAGCACGACCAAGTGTGTCGTCAACAACAACTTCTAGCGCTGCGCCTAAGCGAAGAGTCATGGCACCTCCACCGGCTGCTTACATTAAGGATTCAGGCGCCAACGAAACGAACGGTGGTGCCAATGAGGAGAAGAGGGGCAAGATGATATATCCCTTCGAGGCTACTGGTGATGGTGAATTGACAGTGCAAGATGGTCGGGATGTAGTACTGCTCGAACCCGACGGTAAGTTTCTCTCTCTACTCTCGCGATAACGCTAACCCCCTACAGATGGCTCTGGCTGGATCAAGGTTCGCGCAGGCTATAAGGAAGGCCTTGTCCCAACATCCTACGTCGAATTCACCACCGTCACAACAACACCTTCTGCCCCGGCTCCCTCCGCCCGACCGTCATCTACTTATTCTACCTCCACAACATCCTCCCTCACACAGTCCAACAAGAAAAAGGGCCCCGCCGTCGCCCCAAAGCGCGGTGCAAAGAAACTCCGCTATGTAGAAGCACTATACGAGTACGCGGCCCAAGCTGACACGGAGCACTCCATGGCTGAAGGCGAGCGTTTTGTTCTCGTGCAGGATGATCCCGGCGATGGCTGGGTCGAGGTTGAAAAGGCGGGCGTCACGGGGAGTGTGCCTGCGAGCTACGTGCAGGCTGTCTAGAAAACGAGCAGGAAGTGTAGATGTAGAGTTTGTCGTTGGAGGCGGGACATCAGGTAATCTTGCTTGAAAGAATTACTTTTTTACCTTTTTTTTTTTGCAGAAGGATTCAGTTCTCTGGATGAGAAGCCAACGAGCGAAGCTTCTTAATAGAATTCTTATTCAAACCAATACTTGGAAGAGAAAGAGATGGATACAGTGGCTTCATGGAGTACAGTTTACATACATACAGTACCTAATGTAGTCGCATGAACTGCTGAGCCGCTTTGGTATAAGAGCTTACGAAGCGAACCTGGTGTCTTTGCCACTTGACCGAACTTTCCGAACGAAGAGTCATAACATCACGAGCACAAGACCCAAGTCCGGCGGAATTTTATCAACTTGAAATTTTTTGGAGTTGATCGCTTATTGTAAAAACGCTAAGCATGAAAGCCAGGCGATGTAACATCTGTCTAGATATGTGTATGTATGTATATTACAAGTTTGGGGGAAAAAAGAAGAAGCCTCAAGCGTCCACCGCCGATACTACCTTGTATTCATTTCTCATGTAAGCCATCCTGGTATACTAGCTATGCCCCTCCGATCCATCTGCCCATTCTTTATTTCCCTTTCCTTCTTTGTTTCGTTGATCATGTCGGGTGTGCGTGTGCAGTTGCAATTTGCGTGTATCAAATAGGAGGGGGATATCATCTCTTCCAGTACCTTGGAATAAACGCCATGCCAAAAAAAACACAAGTAAAAAGAAAATAAGAAACAGATTCGAGCGGTAAAAAGTATGTTTAGTAGAAGAAAGGGGGGGAGGAAGAGACTCCCTAGGACGTAATACAACAGGTATTCGTCCTTGGGTCGAATAAACCGTGAACCCCACGTAAAACCAAACGCCGAGTGGAGTGTATGCATAATTTGGATACGATGGGGAAAGGGGCTGAACAAAAAGTCCAGAGGAAATTAGTTTGCGGTTCCAACGAAACGGCTGTTGTTGGTTCGGTTGTTTCCTCGCGTACGGCCTGTATTGCTCACAGAATTTGGAGATTATTCCTAAATCATCTGCGCGGTGGGAGCTCCCAAACCATGGTGTGTAAGGCTGTCTCGTAGAGTGTCCTGCAACTCAGCGATCTGAGCCATCATGGACAAAGAGTTCTGCGACTGCTGTTGCATATCGGCCTTGAGTCTGTCGTTCTCTTCACGCAGCCTCTTAACCTCCTCTTTAAGTTCGATAATCTCCGTGGTAGCTGTATCGCTTGCACGGCGCTTGCGCTTCACACCTGTCTGCTCGCTGTCGTTCTCGTCGGACAAGACCATATCGGGAGGAGGAGTAGTTCCAGCTCCGTCGGGGTTGGTGTGAACACGTCGAAGATGCTCGTTCAAGTTTTCCATTCTTGAAAACCCCTTCCCTGTGTGTCGCTTGCAATTCGGATGAGGACAGTTGACTGTCTTCTTCGGCCCTCCGTGTTTGTTGTGAACCTCGCGCTCGTGTCGGAGTAGACCACCCGAATAGGTGAAACCAGGGAGGTTCTCACATCCTACGGCGGGGCATCGGTAGGGTCGTTCGTGCTTGTCCATGTGCTTGCTGCAAAACAATTAGTATAGCGTTCAAATGCGAGTTTTGGGTAGAACTTACTTCCATTCGCACTTCCGCGAAAACAATCTAATCTCTTCTTGGCAATCTTCCTGCGTACAATGAAACTTGCCATCTGCACCCTTGACAGCTTCTCTCTCCGGCTTGGCGATAGGTCTCACACGAGGGGGAGGAGGCGAGTCGATACTGGGCGAAAGGTCTTTGTCTTCAGGAAGACCGTCGTGGATAGTAACCTCGATGGGGGAGGGGAATGTGGGGTGCCCCAAGTCAAGTTGAGTCGCATCGTGTACAGCAGCAGCATCGTCTGGCATCATCCCTCGGTCGTCTCCGAGAACGCCTGTGGAGTCTGGAAGCATTGACGCCTCGGTTGTGTATTGGCTGAGCTGCTCGGCGACATCGTTGTCTGTAAATCGTTGATCGGCAGTGTGATCATGGTCGTGGTCGTCACCGATGGGAGGGTATCCCCCATCATGTATGAAACTCCGAGGCTCGAATGCGACACTCATGGCGTCTGTGAATATATGTATGATTTACGACTGTTCGGGAGGTGACGCAGAAACGTTGTCGGAAGAGGCTTTAATTGATGTATGAGTGAAATCAAGCGCTGTCGGTGGTGACGAGCAATAATGAAGTGTTGCGAAGGGTATGTCGGCTGAAGTTGAAAGGTTGACGTCGGTACTTAGTGGTATGCCAATATGCCGATGGATGGTTGATCGGTTCGGTTATGATGAATGAAGCTTCGAGTTGGCCTGAAAATTCTGGTGTAAAAAAAGCGGGAGGCTACGGGAACCTGGAAAACAGGGTGGAGAAACAGGTCGAAGAATGGATTAGTCAAGTTATGGCACGTGACAGCGCGTATGTGTGGCGTGGCTTGGCTTGTCTCGTTGTATTGTGGCGCCGATTGTTCCAGGTTGTATTGTCGAAACAGCGTCAATGCGAAGGCGGCTTTATTAGTATTCAATTGTTTCCAGGCAGACGAGAACCAACGACGGGGGTGACTCGATAGGGCAGGTCCCATAATAAGCAAAGTCCTTAGGCCTTGGGATTCGGAATCGTGACTCACGCGCTGTGCGTCTTAGTGGCGGCGCATTATGGAGGCGTGGGGACCAGCAAGGCTGCGACGAGAAAATGTACTGTATTAACAATACAGAAGTACACTTTTGCATGGATGTTGCAGGATGGTGTAACAACCATGCTCGTTGTTTTTCGAATCTTCACTTGAAGATGTCGCATTTTTAATACGAGGCTGTGCGAGCCAAGTCCATCGCTACGTTGAAGATGCATTCCGACAGGGTCTCGTGATCTTATTCACGGTTTTGGATTTAAGCAACTTTGCTTCCCAGGCACACTCGGTTACCTGATAGGTTCTTGCCGGTGACAAGTGACCTGTACACTGAGTTGTCTAATCCTGGTTTGTCAATACAGGAATCTGTCAGGCTGTAATTCAACAGACCTGTCGACGTTTCCAGCCATAAACCTGTTTTCCAACAGTGCAAGGCAGTCAAGTTGACTGATACAATCTTCTAAATCAGGCGAAGTACGAGATGACTTGCTGGCCTCACCTGGATGAGATTCCCACAGGTGCCTGACTCATTGTGTCAGGTTGGTCCTTTGGTGGTGAGGCCTCGTAACCTTATTTTTCAGGTGGCAAGGCCTGAAGTAGAATAGACGACTTGACCAAAGACGGTGTCACTCGAGGCCACTGAGCCTCCAGCGCAACAAGACAGGGCTCGAAGACGAAGCAATTGACATATAACAGGGTTAGCCTGCGACATAGCTGCGACTATCAGCGTATCGCAGGTTCAGCGTATCGCAGGTTTTGCGTATGTATCAGAGCATCCGCAAGAGGGTGGCACAAGCGGATGACGATGGTGATGACGACGATAGCTCAAAGAATGACATTGGCGAGACCGTAAAGACCGGGGAGCTCGCTTAGATGGGAAAAGTTGAATGCTAACGACGACTCAACCATAGTAGCAATTAAATTGTAGATGTCATTTCGAGAAGCAATTGAAAGGGCGATGGAAGATGAGAAGAAGTGATAGAAGAGGTGAGAAAGATGGAAAGGGGAGAAAAGTTGGAATTTGGAGATTTGGAGTACGCTTTGTTGTTTTGGGGAGCAAAGGTAGCGGGAGCGGGAAGCAAGCGCGCGTGCTGGTTTCTCAGGCATTTGTGCATTTTTACACCAGAAATATGAGGTTGAACCTCGTTGCTCTTCTCTTATTGCAACAATACCACCTTACAAGGGGTTTACCAAGCCTAATGCAGCTAATGCTGATCCTTTGGAAGATGAGCCACAGGAAATACGTGACATGTTATTGGTCTGTTTATGATGAGTAAACTTTGATTCTGTAGATGATCTTGATCGGAGTCTTTGGAATTTTCATAGTTGCCTCTATTATTTTTTCATCTTGTTGTTGTTTGATGCGCCAAAAAACAATGCTGGGCAACTACGATGGTAAGTAAGCCTAGACAGCTAACTCTGCCTGGTCAAAGTGTCGTTTTTGGTTCAGTTTCATCCTCGTCCAATCCCCGTCTTTGTTTCTATTCAAATGCCTGCAGCAAACAACGCCTCTTAATAAAGTGGCTTGCAGCACCCATTGTGTTCACGATACTCTACCGTTTAACTGCTATATCATGTGAATACTAGTAATTTCGCCAGATTGTTTGCTAGCGTTGGCCATCACTCTAATTAGACACCAATTCGAGAGCAATATGAAATGATTCCAAGCCACGATGAACGTGCATTTTACAACACGATATAGGTATAAATAAACACGATATTCTCATGTTTTGTTATTCAATCACCATCGCCTTCGACATCTTGCACTGATAACTTACCACAAATATCACTTCAACACACATCATGTCTTTCCAAAGAATCACCACCTCCCTCTGGTTCCAGGACCAGGCTGAAGAGGCAGCGCAATACTACACCACGATCTTCGCCCCCTACTCCGAAATCACCACTATTCAACGCAACACTCCACCCGGCCAAGATGATAAAAGAGTCATGGCTGTCGAGTTTGCGCTCCAAGGTCGTACCTTTGTCGCCCTCAATGGAGGACCAGTTCCTTGGCAATTCAACGAGGCTATCTCATTGATGGTCAACTGCAAAGATCAGGCCGAGATCGATTACTACTGGGAGAAGCTCAGCAAGAACGGTGATGTTTCCCGTCAACAGAGTGGATGGTTGGCGGATAAATATGGCGTTGCTTGGCAGGTTGTGCCCACGGCGTTTAAGGACATGATGGGGTCTGGGGACAAGGCTGCTGTGGGGAGAATGACTAAAGCTATGATGAAGATGAAGAAACTCGACATCGCAGAATTGGAAAAGGCATTCAAGGGTTGATAGGCGCTAGAGAAACAAGTCATTGGAGTATTATTCTGTTGATACAGTGATGTCAGATGAAAATGAAATGGGGTCATGGGTACTCTTTAATTCCCCTTGGCCTATAAAAGCAACTACAGCACTACATCCGCTATCGGCAATCCACTCTGGAATTTTTATTTCATTACCCCGCCATCATGATGTCTGGTCATTTTTGTTATCTGCTTACTATCATAAGACCTCTGGTAGAGTCAGCGACAGAAACATAGTTACACAACATAACTATACTGAAATACCCACAAGCAGATTATCTTTAGTATATTTTTATTCTCTGTAGTAATTGAATACGACGGAATGACTCGTGTACCGAGACTTGTTTTAAGTTTGTTGATAAGAAGTGACAGACGTGCCTACCCTAACATTAGTGGGGCTGTCCAGTAGATTCATGTGCACCACCTAGATGAGTCAGCCACTAAAGGTTGGGTAGAAACAGATTTTTTTTAATACTCATGGTTCTCTCTTGGTGTGCGCCGTGCTTGTTTTGTCGTGTTCATCACCCGTTATAACAAGTTTCACCATCGTCCCAAGAAACCATCATCATGAGCGACTCCTTTGAGACGGCGGCGCCGCCGCATGCTACCTACGACGTAAGAGCAATGCGCCTCCATGTAGTACCTTCATCATAGCTGACCTTCGTTACCGTAGACTGTCCTCGTCTTGGACATGGGATCTCAAACTAGTCATGTTTGTTCTTTCCAGAGATAAATTCTGCTTCTGCCATGTAGGCTAACAATCCCAAAAGCTCATCTTGAGGCGACTTCGATCTCTTGGTGTCTACTCTGAGATGCTGCCCTGCACCCAAAAGATCAAGGATCTGGGCTGGAAGCCAGTTGGTGTCATTCTCAGCGGAGGTCCTTCAAGTGTTTATGCCGACGATGCCCCCGGCGCGGACCCTGCTGTCTTTGAGCTCGGCGTCCCTGTCTTGTAAGTCGTAAGCTAAAAGCATGACGGAACATCACTAACATGCTATCAAGGGGAGTCTGTTATGGCAACCAACACATTGGTATTATCCTCTCTGGATGTATCAAAACCACAATTGACTAACAGTTTCTAGCTTGGCGAGCAAACCCCAAGAGTGTGGCTCCTGGAGTGACCCGTGAGTACGGTGAGACTGAGTTGACCATTCACAAGATTGGCACTCACGGTGATCGACTTTTCGAGGGATTGGGAGACTCTCTGAACGGTATGTTGTGTAGATGATGTTATGGCCCGACGTGTATCTGACATTCATCTAGTCGTCATGAGCCACTTCGACAAGGTCGTTCAGCTGCCCGACGGCTTCAAGACCATTGCTACCACCAAGAACAGCGAATTTGCCGGTATCGCCCACGAGACTGAGCCTATCTTTGGTATGTAAATCTTTCCGGGGCCCACACTAGAACTTACTAACAAGTAATTGATAGGCATCCAATTCCACCCTGAGATCTCGCACACCGAGAAGGGAACTGACATCATCCGCAACTTCGCTGTCAACATCTGTGGTGCTCGACCTGAGTGGAAGATGGACGACTTCTCAGCCCGTGAGGTCCAGCGCATTCGAAAGCTCGTTGGTGACAAGGCCCAAGTTGTATGTGTTTCCATCTTGCCCAGCAATCTCTGTCAGCTTGCTTACTACTTTGTAGATTGGTGCCGTCAGTGGCGGAGTGGACAGCACTGTTGCTGCTAAGCTCATGAAGGAGGCCATTGGAGACCGATTCCATGGTGAGTGAAAGCTGCTCGACAAGATGTTATGCCATTTGTACTAAAATTTGGATAGCTATCCTGGTTGACCAGGGTCTCATGCGTTTGAACGAGTGCGAGCAGGTCAAGGAAACCCTTGACAAGCACCTGGGCATCAACCTCACCGTTGTCGACGGATCTGAGCTTTTCCTCGGCCGTCTTGCCGGTGTCACTGAGCCTGAAGCCAAGCGAAAGATCATTGGAGGAACCTGTGAGACAACCCCCTGGAAGCTAGCTAGGCCATCATACTGACTTCACATAACAGTCATTGATCTTTTCGAGATTGAGGCGCTCCGGTATGCACACGCTCAATACTGTTCTAACTTTGGTAGACCTGATCTAACTCTATATCTAGTATCGAGAAGGAGGCTGAGAACACAGACCGTGCCGGCAAGGTCGAGTGGTTCCTTCAGGGAACACTCTATGGTGAGTTCTTCATTGCTTGGCAGGAACTGAACATTCGTTAATATTGTTTAGCCGATATCGTCGAAAGCTTGAGTTTCAAGGGAGCCGCCAGCTCTACCATCAAGTGTAAGTCTTTTTGCTTATCTGTTCTTGATTGTACATAACTGATTCCTGTACAGCCCACCACAACGCTGGAGGACTTCCCGCTCGCATGCAAAACGGCGTAAGTTGAATCCATATTCGATATTCTGTTGAAACATACTAACAAAAATCAGGAGGCCCAACTGAAGCTCCTCGAGCCTCTCCGAGAACTGTACGTTACCGATCGTAACCTGGATCCAACAAAATGGTAATTACTTTTCGCAGTTGCTAACAATTCACAGTTTCAAGGACGAAGTGCGAGCTTTCGGACGTCAACTGGGCATCCATGAGGAGCTCATTGGCCGACACCCCTTCCCTGGCCCTGGTCTGGGTATCAGAATCATCGGCGAGGTCACCCCCGAGCGAGTCGAGATTGTTCGCAAGGCTGATCACATCTTCATCTCCATGATCCGCGAGGCCGGAATCTACGACGAGGTTACTCAAGCCTACGCTGCTCTTGACTCAAGCCGAGGTAAGCCTATTCTTACACTTTACAAATCTGCAACATTATCTGACTCTTTCTGTAGCTGTCGGTGTCCAGGGTGATGCCCGAGTCTACGGCTACATCTGCATTCTGCGTGCCGTTACCAGCTTGGACATGATGAGTGCCGAGCCCTACGAGTTCAAGTGGAGCCTCCTCAAGGCTATCAGCAGGAGGATCGTGAACGAGGTTGACGGCATCGCGAGAGTGGTTTACGACACCACCTCCAAGCCTCCTGGAACCATTGAGTTGGAGTAATATTGTTCAACCCACCGGTTTGAAGAACAATTTTCCAGACCCCATCGTTCTGGCGAGGACCTGATTTGGCGTTTAGACGGACAGTTGAAATTTTGCGGGGGAAAAATAAAATAAAGGGACTTCTTTTTTCATTGGCATGCATTGCAAGATAGGGAGATTCTCTAGCGATTTTGCAATGACAGCCACATATAACCAACCATCTGCCTAGTTCTCTGTATGCTTCAAGTGATGCCGTGCTGAATTATCGCCTAGCCTTTAGTTTATTCTGACCACAGTATAGAGGCCGAGCGAGCACCGAACGCTGCACCGAATGTCTCTAGACTATTTAGTGCCCGAGTCTTGGTCGAAGACGGCGCTTAAAGTAATAGTCTCGTTGTTAATAGTCATAGCTTCCCGAATACCGGCGGTTGGTCCCGGCAGAGTTCTTATTCTCGGTCCAGGGTCTCCGGTTTCACGGCCGGTAATACCGAGACCGAGTCGGTACTTGCCGCGCCGTGATTTCAATGTAACCCGCGATAATCGATCTATCGTTCGTCGATCATCGATCGTACTCGTGGTTTTCGATAGACCCTGTAATATCTTGGCCCGTTAGATAAGTGATTAATTGCATCGAGTGATCAAGAGTATCAAGCCTCAATTTCTTATGTTATTTATTCGTGTACCGGTCACTAAAAGCCGGTATAAAAGAGGCTGTATCTCATGTGAGGAGCCGCATCTAGTGTCTCCATTATTAAACTCAAGCTAGTAACTTGGAGCTTCCCCAACATGCAAGAGCTACCACCCACCAAAAGAGTGAATCTGCAGCTGGAACGGAACCAATACTTGTTTGGGTTCTAGCGGCCTAGATCGGCTCACAACCAATACTTTTACTCATTGATAAATCAATCCCCTCCACCCTCTTTTTCTTTCTCTTTTCTTCCCCCTCTCAACAGTTCATTTATTATCATAATCATTGAACCCTCTCGACTGGCATTACCTCTCTTCCTATTCCTTGCTGCTGTTTATATCAATCTTCCGACTTATACAGCACACCCATCCATTGCTGAGCATGGCAGAGTCAGCTCATAGCTCGCTCGCCAGCGGTGGCCAGCATGATGACCATGCGTCAAAGCCTCACTTTGCTTCTACTGGGCTTGAGAATCAGGAAGAGGGAAATGCCCGAGAGGGTGATTATGATGTTGAGACGGTTGAGCGTATCTACAGGTTTGTTTGTCACTTGACTATTGTGCCAACATATAACTAACCAATTCAACTATTTAGAAAGATTGACCGTCGTATTATTCCTGGTAAGTCATGAACCACTTCCCCATCAAAAGATATTTACTTACCATCTCGTAGCTTTTTGGGTTCTTTACTTTCTCTGCTCAGCCATCAGGTCAAACATTGGAATCGCTCAAACCATGAACAAGGACAAGGGTCATGACCTCATGACTGTTCTTGGAATGACTCCAAAGGACGTTTCTACTGCTCTGGCTCTCTTTTACGTGGCCTATGTCCTCTTTGACTGCCCCTCTAACCTCGTCATGAGCAAGCTCAGCCCTCGTCTGTGGATGGCTCGCATTGTCTTTGCAACCAGTGTTATTGGCACTTGCTTTGCTGCCGTCAATGATCCCTGGAGCGTAAAGCTTTTGCGCTTCTTGCTTGGAGTCGTCATTGCTGGTATGTGGCCTGGCATGGCATTCTACCTCACCCTCTTCTATCCTCCTTCGCGTACCGGCCAGCGAATCGGGTACTACTTTACCGCCTCTCAAGTCTCTGCTGCTGTCGTTGGTCTTGTTTCTGCCGGCTTTCAGCTAATGGATGGTGAGAGAGGAATTGTGGGTTTCCGATGGATGTTTATGGTTTACGGCCTTATCGGTATCGTTCTGAGCTTCGTTCTGTTGTGGTGGCTCCCTGATCGTCCTCTTGCGCCTGGTCAGACTCGACCCAAGACTGGCATCTTCAAGTTCCTTCCCGCTACTCCCGAGGTTCTTAAGGGACAAGATGCCGTCATTCACTACCACGACCTTAAACGCGTCTACCACGCTCGCCCCTGGAACTTCAAGGACCTCGGCCTTGTCCTTATCGATTGGCGTTTGTGGCCCTTGACCATGATGTACTTCGGTGTTGTCGGCGTTGGAATAGGCACCCAGATGTACGGATCCGTTATCATCGCATCCATTCGACCTCAGGCCAGCGGTATCGAAGTGAGCCTGCTATTCGCGCCCATCTGGATTATGGATCTCATCGCAATTCTCATTGTGACTCCCATCTCGGATCGTTTCCACCGATCTCGCCCATACTTCTTCTCTGCTGCCGTTTGTATCCAGATTGCTGGTCTTCTTACCACCACACTGGCGACTGGCAACGGCTGGGCTCGATACGGAGGCCTTCTCATGGTTGGTTTCGGCCTCGGCCCTACTGTGCCCATCTGCATGGCTTGGAGTTCCGAGATCTTCCAGAAGCGTCATGGAGAAGTTGGAGTTGCTGCTGCCACTGCTCTTGTCTCTGGTCTCGGCAACTTGGGTAGTGTCATGACAACCTATGCTCTCTACACTGGTTGGCCCGAGGACGCCGCTCCTGGTCCCCGCCAGTACCGCAAGAGCAACTACACCATGATCGGAATCTTGTGCATGAGCATTATCAGCTCTTTCCTTATGAAGGCTCTTCTTGCATACTTTGGTAACCCAGCCAACAGCAAGCTTCAGTCAGACTCAGCTAGTGAGTTTGAGGATGGTGCAGCCCGACGAGAGGGTCAGGAGCGCGGTTTCGGATCTCTTCCCTGGAAGAAGTCGAACCGCACCTAAGTTCTTCTAGAACACTCCGGATTCGCTCGTCTGGATCGCATCTTCAACAATCACCCAGCTCGACGATTCCTAGCACATAGCAGCTACTGGTAGCCCAACCTCCTGGTCCAGCTGCATGTAATAACATGGCATTATACTAATAACATGCCTACGAAATTCACTTCTTACATCCACCCGAAGAGGGTTCATCGTTTCGCCCTCGAGGCGTCGTCATATGACAAAAATGGCATACCCACCACTTACGACGGCCTCGGCAACGATTTGTTTCTCGGAGGATAACATGACCTTGCGAAGAACATGATGACAATGCTTCAGCGCTATCATCACGCTCCCCTCGCCAGGCCAGATTATCCTTCTAGCATCCATCCTCCTCTCGGACTATTCTGACATTTTACTCTTTCCGGCCTTTTTGGCTTGTCTTGTTTTTGCTCTTTTTTGTTATTATGATACCCCATCAGCGTTTGTACACGCTGTCCTACGAGTTTACCTCCCTTGATTCCCTCGGCAGCGAAAGTGCTTCTACGCCATCGCTTTGCGGATAGTGTGTTGAACCAGAGCTCGCGGCGACAATGCTTGCTACGCTATCGCTTGGCGAGCTCTGTGGGCGTTTTTGTGTTTCTTTTTTGGTTTGGTTGGATGGAGAGGTTGTATAGCTTTAAGAGCTTGGTCAGGGAGATGTTAATTATGCGTTCGTTATTTTATACTGGTTAAGATATAGTATACAAGAACCGTTACTCTCCAATTTTATACGTTCAATATATGCTAACTGTGATGTTCCAAATTACAATGTCAAGTATATACCAGTGTGTTATTATAATTCAACAAGCTCTTTCGTGTTTAAACTTGCGGCATCTCCTAATATATATAAAGAGTATTTAGCAAGTACCTATATGTCAACCTAGTATGTATATACAGGCCAGTCAGACCTATTTACAAGCTACGACTATTATAAAAATTGCCAAGTATGAACCAGTTTTATACATTGCTCACTCACAAACGGACTCACATACAAAAGACAAAAGAGTTCATGTAATGGCGTTCTGTATTCTCTAATTGAAATGCGGTACATACATCGTGTTACACAACCCGTAGGTTAAAATCTCATGTGCACATAAAACAAAGGGGACGATAAATATTTCAACTCCAAAATTCTCATTCCTCAGCAAAAAGTCTCAATCATCCGGACCCATCTCCGCCGGTCTCAAACCAGAGCTTGAAGCTGAGTCTGGATAACGATGACATTGCTGTACCCTTTCCAAAAATTGTCTAAAAACCCCCCATGTTTCTGATTGAATTCCCAAGTGTTGTTGAAGTGAAGAAAGGAAAAACTTGACTTGGCTATGCTATGCTTCTTTTTTTGCTGTTTGTTTTTGGTTGATCAGAGACCGAGCATGCGGCGGAAGCGGCCGGGGACTGGGTAGGGGCTGTGCTTGACGCCTTGAGCCTCGACGGTTGCAGTCACGTAGACTGTCTCGGGAGCCTTGGTAGAGGCGGTGGCCATAGTAGTGGGGGCAGGACACATGGTGACGACTGAGGTGACGACGTTGGCACCCTGCTCAGCACAAGGAAGGGTAACGGTCTTGACAACCTCTCCTCCAGCGGGGACGGTGACGGTCTTGGTGATCTCTCCGCCACCGGGGAGGGTGACGGTCTTGGTGATCTCCTCGGCGGGGACAGTAACGGTCTGAGTAACCTCGTTGGTCATAGTCTTGGTGATAGTCTCAGTGCCTTCGGTAACGGTGTCGACGCCAACGGTGACGTAGGAGGTGATCTCGTTGGTGACAGTGTGTGTGATGGTCTTGTCACCGACGACAGTGGTCTCCTGGCCGCCAGGAACAATGGTGGTCTCGACAACAGCCTCAGAAGTCTCAGCGGGGGCCTCAACAACGGTGGTCTCCTCAGCAGGAACGGTAACGATAGCGGTACCGGTGCCGGTAGGGACGCCAGGGGTGATGGTCATGGAGGTGACGCTGACCTCCCCGTTAGGCTTGGTCATGGTGATGACAACAACACCGGTCTGGGTTCCAGTGACAACAGTGGTAGCCTCCTCGCTGGTCTCGACACCAAGGGCAGAAGAGACCTCAGCCTCAGCGGTGGTCTCGGCGGCAGGGGGGGTCTCGACAACGGGCATGGTCTCAACGGGAGCCTCAGAAGTCTCGGCATCAGTGTTTCCGGGGTAGATTCCAGTGCCAGTGGGGACACCGTTGGTGAGAGTCATGGAGGTGACAGTGACCTCGCCGTTAGGCTTGGTCAAGGTGAGGGTGGTGACAACATCAGGGACCTCAGGAACCTCGGAGGTGGCAACACCTAGAGCGGTAGAGGCCTCGAACTCGGCATCAGAAGTCTCGACAGCAGCCTCAGTGGTCTCCTCAGCGGGAACAGTGGCACCGGTTCCGGTGGGGACACCAGGGGTGAGGATCATGGAGGTGACAGTGATCTCGCCGTTGGGCTTGGTCAGGGTGAGAGTGGAAATCACATCGGAGTTCTCAGGAACCTCAGGGACATCAGAGGTAGCAACACCCAGAGCAGTGGAAGCCTCGAACTCGGCATCAGTGGTCTCGGCATCGGCAGTCTGGACAGTGGTGGCAGAGGCATCAGTAGAGGCAGGGGTCTCAATAACGGGAGTACCATCGGAGACAACGCAAGACTCGGAGACAGTGAGGGTACGGGTAGAGATGACAACGTGACCACCAACAGCAGGCTTGTTGTCCTTGCCAGTAGTGACAGCGGCGTCAGAAGGAAGGATAACGGTAGCGGTCTCAGTGGACTCCTTCATGTCGCCAGTAGGGGCCTTGGCAGTGGAAGAGGCATCAGTACGGCAGATCTCGAGCTGCTTCTGGCAGTCAGTGACAGCGTAGTTCTTTCCAGCACTCTCTTCACAAGCCTTGGCCTGCTTGCCACAGGCGTCATCGAGAGCCTCATCGATCTTGGTGAAGCTCTTCTCATCGGAACCGGTACCGACAACGAAGTCACCCTTGTTACCACGCTTGACAGGAGGGCAGGCAGCACCAATGACAATGGTACGGTGGAAGATGGTAACCTCACGGATGACAACAATGACAGGTTTGACGATCTTGCTGACGACAGCGCTGCTGGTAGCAACCTCAGAAGAAGCAGGGAGCTCATCGATAGCAGTGGTGTCAGCGACAGCAGGAGCAGTCACAGTGGTGTTGGCGAAAGGACCAGGCTGGGAAGTGACAGTGTTCTGGCTGTTACCAGTGGTGAGGATAATGCTAGGGATGATGGTGGTGGGAATAGGGATCTCAGACTCAGTGCTGGCATCGGCCTCACCAGTAGCAGTGTTGGCAGTCTGGGTGTCGTTCTCAACGGGGGTGGACTCAGCAGCATCTTCAGTAGCAGCAGTGGTCTCCTCCTCGGGGGCCTCAGAAGTGGCAACACCCAGAGCGGTGGAAGCCTCGAGGTCGGCACCAGTGGTGGTCTCCTCAGCTCCTTCAGCGGGAGCAGTCTCGGTGTTCTTGCCACCAGCGCACTTGGTGCAGGGAATGGTGACAGTCTCGTCGACAAAGATGGTAGTTCCGTCGGTGATGTAAGAGGTAGGGATGACAGTCACCTCGGCAGTCTGAGCGGGAACGTCACCAGACTCAGTAGCCTCAGCAACATCAGTGGAGAGGGTCTCGGCGACCTCAGAAGAGGTACCCTGGGCAAGAGCATCACCACCAGTGGTGACCTCGGTCTCAACGGCAGCCTCAGAGGTCTCCTCAGCACCAGCCTCAGTCTCGGTCTTCTTGCCTCCAGCACACTTGGTGCAGGGGATGGTGATGGTCTCGTCGACAAAAATGGTGGTTCCATCCTCGATGTAAGAAGTAGGGATGACGGTCACCTCGGCAGTCTGGTCGGAAACCTCACCAGCATCGGTGGTGGTGATGACAGTGCTGAAAACCTCAACCTCGGAAGTGGCCTCAGCATCAGCGTCGCCAGCAGTGCTGGCTGTGCACCTGGAGCAAGGAATAGTGACGGTCTCGTCGACGAAGATGGTGGTTCCATCCTCAATGTAAGAGGTAGGGATAACGGTGACCTCAGGCTCAGGAAGATCGGGAACCGGGTAGGCGTTGGTAGGCTTGGCCTTGGCCTTGGTGACATACTTGGTGAGAGTTACCTTTTCCTGGGCAACGACACCATCGACGAGAGCTTGCAGGCTGACAGCCGCGACAAAAACGTTGCGCATAAACATATTGACGAATTTTAATCAAAGGGCGTTTAATGGAAGTTGTGTTTTGTTGATTGGGCGATAAGTAAATGACTCTATCAAAGAGAAAAAGTAAAAGCGATCAAGCTGAAAAGGCGACCAAAGCACCTGTAAGAAGGGAATGACTGAAGAAGAAAAGCCCAAATCGGGGAACAAAACCAAGGAGTGTATTGAAGTTGAAAGTGAAGAGGAAGAAAAGCAGAGATGCTGCGGCGAAGGCATCGCTTTTAAGCAACAGAATCTTCATTTCTGCTAAGCCTCGTCGAAAGTCCCCAGCGTCAACTCTGACATGGGTATGAGCGGAGTACGATTCAGCACGGTCATCCTTGACATCGATCGGGGGTTAATTGAGGTGGTCTCAACTTGAGACGTGATGGATCTGACGCCTCCCCCCACCTCCTCGTATGGCTCAATACAGCAAGTGCCCAGGTCTCAGTTCACTGTAGACGAGACATGGTGTATAGAACCTTGCCGACTTGGCAAGGCGGTGCCATATTGGGGTTGAAGACCTTGGCTAAAGACGAATTTCCTTGGAGACTGGACGATGGACGTTAGAAATCCATGGGTCCTAGACACAAGGCTCGGGCAATCCTCTCCAGATAGTGGAGGGATTATGACCCCATGTCGTCGTTGGTGTCCATCCGACTTGTCGAGGTTAATTTTCCGGCGGCGAATACGACAAAAACAACGTCTGTCGGTCTAGGTAGCCGCCTCCCAGATGGGACGGGTAGGCCGTTCGGTTGACTCGGTAGCTCTAATGAACTTCAAGGATGTTTGTAGAGCAATATGTGGTGTATTATTGAGCGTTTGTTTAGTGATTGTTTGTGGACGGACTATTCGATCAACGGTGAAACTATTCCCGTAGCCGTATCCAAAAATAGGGCAAGCCAAGCTGACGTTGGTACGTATTGGAGTATTGGTGATGGTATCAATAGTATAGACTTGTATGTATGAGACAGTTATATTAGCTGACTGGTCATGATGAGCAGTTCTTCCAAGGCAGAGCTAGGATGGATGGCTGAACCTGTCGATTGAGGCTTGTGTCGATCCTCCTCGCAATCTGCCGTAAAACCTATTCTCTACAGTCACCGTAGTGTACCTGCATAGAGTAGCGTTGAATGTTGCTTTCGAACTTAGTTTGGGCGTTTGACGCGGAGAAAAGGTGAGGTAGTCAAAATGGAAGGCTTCAATTGGAAGACGCGGTATGCAGGGATGCGATGCCGGGAATATGCATAAAGTGGGTTTTACAGGGGAGCGGGGGTTTTAAAGTCGCACGAGAGACAAAAGGCAGGTACGGCCGACAAGGGTTTATTTTTATTGTTTGCTTTTTTTCCATGACGGGAATATCGTTTCTACGAATGGTAATAAGTATAAACATAAAGAGGGACATTTGATTATCAGATAGCTATCACTATAACTTAAAGTAACTGTATCTCTTCTGACCATAAATCCGCCACAACTTACAGTCCAAGCAATACCGGATATATCCTCCATTAAGAGAGATTACCAATTACGGTAGAGTTCATGTCTGGAAAAACACCAAAAGCAGTGACAAAAACCCAAAAAGCTGAGCTAACCCCGGTCCAAGCTCCATACTCTCACTCAACATGAATCACGACCAAGTTTCATGATTCCACCCCTTACGCCTTACAAGTAGCCTTAGCCCGAGCAACCTTGTCAACCACGTCGTTTCAGAAGTGACTTGATGGCCGAATTGAGGTGACTTGTTCATGCGTTTTCACACAAATGAGCTGTCATTCGTCCCAAACCGAATAGAATCCATCATATACAAAACAAGCATAATCTCTCCCTGAGGATGCTGCAACTACACTCAACTTTGGAAACAAACACAGCCTCCTTCACTTAAAACTATACCCAATTGTTTTGCCCATATCTTCATATCGGAGAATTTCTTTTTGCTTCTTGTCTTTTGCCTGTCTTTATCTTGTCTATTATACCTTTTATTTAGTATATACGTGTATCATCAAGGACATCGCCGATGTTCCACAATGAATCGTGTCTCATCTTTTTCTAGAAGCTTCAATTGAGGCTCATACGACACAAGTGATACAAACTCTGACAATATTGGTTAACGATATGATCTTCATCTCAATTGATCCGAGACAAGGATGAAATCGAGTTAATGCGTTAGCTCACCACCGTTATCAAGTGCGCATGTTCCTTGCAAGCGCCACTCGTTAGATCCCGCTATGATATGGCACGGCCGGATCATCGCATCTCTGTAATTTATCACCTTGCGTACCTGCAGGTGTCGTCCTGTTTGCTAAATCCTTCTGTGACTTGGTTATTTCCCTGAGTCAGCTTGTTTCTATTTCATTTCTTTGAAACAAACTAGGACTGAAATCCTATGTAATCAACCATCCGCACAAGATTAATGGACCACTATCCGTGCATTCTTTTGCCTTGTTAGTCTCGGGGACTTTATATTTAATTGTAAACTGGGAATCGTTCAATCCTTCTCGGCCAGAGGCAGAAATGACGAATACTAACTTTGATGAAGCATGTAAGCTTACAATGTTCCTAAGTGTTTGATACTTGCATGTAGGTTAAAATCTTACTATTTACTCCAAACATTTGGTCATTTAGTCTCTGGGATCTATTTTTGTAACATGGCTATCACAGCTGATACATAGCACTTAGATACTAGTTGCGGCTTCCTGCTGTATCTCGTGATTGACCATCCTACTACAATGCAAACCCGACCGCGTTTGTTGTCCGTTGCCTCGCCTACGTAGTATCACAGCGTAGCACGGATCGATGAACTGAAGTGGGTTTGGAGATCAGTGGATCAATCAGTCAAACAGCTATTGTTCCTGCATTGTTAAAATAGTCATCCGATGGGTCAAACTCGACAACAACAGCCCTAAATGAACGATTCCGTTTGTATAGCTCAAAGCGCAGCGCTTGACAAAAAGCCAAGGAAGTATATCGGACGGGTGTTTGCACTTCATTCGAGCTTTCCGAACAAACGTGCTTTACTGAACAAGGATGGCGGGTGTACACTCTGAAAGTTTACTACCAAAGCGTTGTCCATCAAGTGTCCCATGTGCGTGTGTTCATCTTAATTATGCGTCACTGCGAATTAAATGTTTATCTCGGATGGCTTTCTCGTGAAACTTGTACGAAACTCGGCATCTTGTCGGGAGGCTCAGATAGACAAAGATGCTTCGCCTAACCTGCCAACTTGTCACTTGTGATATATGACGGGCCGTTGAAGCAATCTGTGTCAAGCAAGAAGTCATTATCGCGCAGTGGCGGGTAGCTCAATCATTTTCGGGCGACGGCGTTAGATAGAATCGAATAGTGTTTGGAGACAGAACCGTGTATACCCCCAGCATGTCCATGTAAGAACCGTTGTTATCTACATTTAGATGTGTCTGAGAGTCTCATTCGCCTCGGATCTGAGTAGTGAAAACATTCTATCGTAAATACATATATTGGAACTGTTAGACAATGTTGAAATGGGTGAATAGAGAGAAAGTGAGCTATTGCCACATAATTGAATGGCCCTAACAAGTTGAACCATCAACGGCGAAGGGACTCTCATTACATAAACTATGGTATCAAGAAGACTTAACATATATAACGAAAGATCGCCATTGCTCTACAGGGTTATATCAATCCTAAAGATCATTTTTATCGTCTTGGAACACTACTGTGTCACTTCAACTAACCGAGCAGGCTTTAGCTTTGACTATAGGGTATGCAGAATCACCCAAATCGATCGTTTCGCATCGACATGTGTTGGCAGTAGGTAGTCTACTCAAATGTTGGTTTGGTACTTTCAAGCTTTTTTATTCAAGGCACTACTTCCATTCTGGTAAATTAGATGTTATGTACCAATTTCATGCTAGTATAGGATGGGAACGTCATTTTCATGTTATCAAGCTCTCAACATGCAAAGGCACGTACATGCGAACCACTCGACTTATGTGGAATCTTACCAGGAAATACTAAAGAATAGGAAATGTAATCTATAAGTGACCAGTGACGTTGTGTACATACAAGATGTTTAGTTGGATTGGTGTCTGCCATGGTCGGTGACGTTGAACAGGAAACAGGTCTTGCTATTGTAGCAATAACATCCATAGCTACTAGGAATTTTTCTTATATAGTACAGAAAAGATTGGCTCTCATGCGCAGCCTGATACTTGAGACCCTAGTATTTGAACAAGGGTTGTAACATATTGACTGGACATGAAGCAGCAGACCGTAAATGAACAAGTGATTGGAATAGTGAAACCAAGACCAAGAAGCGAGCTTCAACAGACTTGATGACAGTTCAAGAACGAGTATTAGCGAAAACTCGAGGAGAGTTTGTGCCTTTACTGTAACCAATGTACGTACTCTCGAGACGACTGTCAGCTGACTGGTCGATTGTAGGCTGTTAAAGTGATGACAAGGATTGTCGCACGACATGACGAGGTCAGGACTTTGTTGTAACACATAATTTGAACACTATATCTCCAGCTTGCCAGTGTTGCGTGTAAAATGGCTCTGGTGGTATTATTATATACTTTGCAGATCTACTAGCTCATCATTTACTTACCGCCTCCTCATGACAACTAACTTTGCCAATGATGGTACAATCCTTGTATAGAAACTGTACAGGATGTTCTAGAACAAAACCAGTTGCTGACTTACCCAACCAGTCACACATCCCGGGGCGTTTATAGGAATGTAATTCCGAGCCACGCAATTCTTAACCCGAGCTGAGAGACTATTACGTACACTCAACAAACTTCTTTACCTGTCAAGGACTGTCGGTGGGTATAATTGGCGTCAAGTATGGGGTAGCTTGACGAAAGATTAGATTGATAAGATGAAATGGTATGGGGCTACTATCCGAGACCGGCAACCGTGTCGCAATTTTCTGTTCGCACACTGTGATGATCTGTATTGTACGTAACTGAAAAGGATTTTTACTGTGAGTTTGAAGAGTCAAGTTGTAGTATGCATGGTGTACGATGCAGACATGGGCAATTCTGCTCGTCTCATGACGAGTGAAAACACGTGGGGTTGGCTTTTTTGTACACCCCCGCATGACTTGGCAAGAAGGGATTGGATTGGTATCTTTAATAGAGAAATTGAAGTATTGAAGCATCGTATAGTACTATGTAAAGCCGTCACCGCTGAATTGTATGTAAGCATGGTCTTATTCTTGTTCGGTGAAAACTCGACCTGCAACCTGACAAAGTCTCCACTCGAGTCTTTGGAAACAGTAGGGATTTACTAACTATTGAAAGAATAAAAGAGGGGGGGTCTTGGTTCGCTTCCATGATGGACAGGTACAGACAGGTACAGAGACAACTTGCAGCTAGTCTTGAATCGGTCTTTTGTCAAGCTTCACGAATTGGTCCTGGACTTTACCATAGATATACTAGTTTATATGTGGCTGGTATCAAGTGACTGACGCAGCCTGGACCTTAGTTGATGAGATACCTGTTGATGCAATTATCATCATCATCCATTATTTATTTTTATCGGTTACAACCACAGTCAATAGAAGTCTCATTCAATGGTTTGATCAATTGATGAAAACTCATCTAATGAGTACGAAGTCATATCATAACTACTTACTATTGTCTACTCTACTGTCATATCCCCGCTTCAACTACCACTGCTACAGTAGCGAGCATAAACCAAAAAAAGAACAAGGAAACCCACTTGTTTCTTGTTGCTGACTCTTGGGATCCCAGTTTCCCATCAGTTGCGTTACGTTACCCGTCACACTCAACAACATTAATCCTTCCGTAAACGAGACAATACGATACCAACACCTTCTCTTTTCTGTCCTTCTTTACTTCCTCTTTCTACACCCCCTCCCCCTGGATTTGATCCAACTGACCTACAATTCACCACATACCTTCCTTTGCCGTGTCTAGCCCCGATTCATATCCTATCGCATCGCATCATAACTATCCCTGCTTCTCTCATCCGGCCTTCAACATCCGGTCTACCGCCCATCTGAATTGAGACCACACACGCCCCGTGCTCACTCTGCTTATCAGATCCTTGGGTCTTGTTCTTCACACACTGTACATGTCAAAGTGCCAAGCCGCAAATCACTAGTAAGAATACAAAGAACAAAAGCCATGGCGCGTTTTGTGGATTTGGAAGAAGACGAGGATGCTGGAGCGGGCCCTGGCGGCTTTCCCGTCCACGATGCTCATCATGAGGCCGCCCTTCCGCCAGTTCTGGAACCTATACATCATGACGGCTATCCCCAGCTCAACGACCTCTCCCAGAAAGATCAGCATCTTTTATTCCTTAGGAAGCTCGAGTTGCTGTCATCTAGCAGCAGCCGGAATGGACCTTGGCCTCACTCATTGTACAACCCAGAGCCGCTAGGCACCATGGATGCCTCTACTTTCCAAGCGCCTGTCACCAATGCGTTTCAGTGCTATCCGTGAGTCCGACCCTCTCTGTACTTGATTCTTCATCTCAATGCTTTCGTGTGCTCGAAATCCAGAGTCCTGAACCTTATCATGATATCCCCCACCCTCATGTCATGACAACACCATTTACTGAATCTCGACAGCATTGTCGAAGCCATTGCTTCTTCCATAGATTTGAACACCCTCGACGCTCTATCGCGTACCTGTCGTCTTGTCCACCATGGCCTCATTCAGTACCGCACTACCCTTATCAACTCAACTCTCCACTGCCAAAACGAAGACGTCCCGGTCGATGGCTCCGAAACCTTTCGTTACCGTGCTCGCGCCGGTAACTGGTTCTACATGGAAGATGGCCGCAGTTACAATGGAAAGTCGGGCAATTGCGCTCGTGACATGGTCGGCGAGTGTCGCAGATGCAGTGATGTGATATGTCGGGTATGTACATGCATGCGATCGGCAGGCACATGGCGATTGCTGAATGGTTGCATATGCTAACCTCACCTCGCAGAATTGTGCCATTAAGCCACCGGCTTCTGTCGCTCTCAAAGAAAGGCATAGAAGACTTTGTAAGCCATGTGTTCATGCGCCTATAGCGACTCTTGTTAAGGCCCCTGTCGATCCCGATATTCCTCTCTCATCAGAGTTGGTATCGCGGGAGGTTTGCAAGTGCGCTGACGATGGCGTCTGGCTCTGCCAGCCGTGTGGACGAAGTATCCGGGCCGCAGATCATGACTACCAACGGTACATTCCAACCCTCAACACCTTATCTTTTATTGCTAACTACTTACAGTATTTGGCGCTGGCGTAACCAGTACGGCGAAGTCCTCGGTGGTCTTGGCACTGGCATCGGCGAGGGCGACCGTGGTGTAATCTGCGGCCGCGAAGCAAACTGCTGTGCAGCCAAAGAAGTCGAACACCAAGTAGACTGCGACGCCGAGGATGCCCGGGATGGAAACGTAGCTGCGGGTTTGAACCCTCAACAAGCTCCAGTTGATGCTCTCATCGACCAACTCCGCCTTACACATGAGCGCACACCGTCCCCATCTCTTGGTCCTGGCTATCTACGCCATGAGATCGAAGGCATTGGCGGTGTTGTCAAGCGCAAGCGAGTTCGTATGGTGCGTGTAGGCCATGGCGTGCCTGAGTGGGATGATGAGCGTTCCAGCGGCAGCCGAGTTCTTGGCCGAGAGGTTAGAGGTGCTCGACGATCATGGTGCGGTTGGTGTAGTCGTGTTATTCCTGGTGAAAAGGATCTCTTGAATGAGCCACCTTCTTCATCATCTTCAGACGCAGGAGGTAGTCGACGAACATCGACATCTACCAGGTCTGTTGAGATGAAGCATGATTGAATCGCTTAGTGTGGGTTTGGTTCATTTTATGAACACTATATATAGGCATAAGTATAAGTGAGAGTTCGGTTGCTCTAAGCGACTTTTACTGTAATGACCGGCCGGGACTGGTCAACTGCATGTTAAAAACACGAGATACATACTTGAGCGTTTGTTTCAAGTAAAAAAAAAATGATAGATCAATGCACTTATACTGGATGTTTTTGGCTGATGCTGACCTGTACTGGCACAAGCATAGACATAAAAATTAGCATGAACTCGGCCCACAGGAAACAAGAATCGCACATAGTGTGAGAGAGTTGTACATTAACAAATCACAAGTATTGGAAGATGGTGAATCAACGTGTACGGAAATAATGTGGCTTGGAAACAAGAGAGACCGTTACATTGATGTAGTTCATTGGTATTTTTGACATTATACAGTTTGCCCAACTCGGTGGGCTGAATCCAGCATGATTCACATTTCACCGCTCCCCATCGTCATAATCCTACACAAGCTCCTGGCGATTTTATATGTTTATACAAGTTCGATAGATAACCGCTGGGCCAGGTCATTGGCACCTCAACAAGACACACCTTACAACTCGCCACGGTAGAGCATTTCCGTCCTCCTCTTGCGTTCCTCTCTGGCGTTGGTTCGGATAGCTCCCCATCGAGATTCCCTCCTCTCCTGCTTGCGCTTGACATTCTCCAAATGGGCTTCAGGTGCGGGAGCCGCCATCTTTACGAAGATAACAGAGCAGCCAAACTTCTCGGCAAGCTTGTTGACGCTCCATGTCTCGGGGTCTTCTTGCCTTAGTTGCTTCATCTCCTTGATATCGGCAGCGGTGAGGTTATAGTTGGGACTGCGGCGGTTGTACTTCATCTCTGGGGGCAGTTTGCTCTTGGAGATAGGCTCCAGGGGAGAACCGGGAGTGTGTCGAAGTCGTGTGAGGGCTACACGGCGTGCATCGTTGGGAGGGAGGAAGAGGAAGGGTGTGTGGAGAGGAGACGCCTCAGAAGAAGGAGGGTTGTAGATGATGGAGTCGGAGGCGGGGAAGGCAGCCTTTCGGTCGGGGAGGAAAGATTCGTGAGGGGCGATCTTGAGAGATCGTTTCGTTCGGCTTGTTGTCTTGTGGCCACGGCAGGGAACGATAGGAAGGCCTGATGGGCGAGGGCTGAGCAGCCGAGCCGCTGGTCGTGCGAGTGTCCGGAACTCCATTTTGTGTTTTAGTGTTATCGAACGACCGAATTGAAACGGTCAGGAGCACGTAGAGGTTGGGAGTGCTGGTCGAGGTGTTGGATTCTCGTATGGACCTCGTGCACCGGGTTGAAGACGATTAGCCACGGCAATTGGCTTGTCGTGTGGTTACAGCTGGACCCTGCTAAACACCTTGAAGTCGAAGATCTGAAGTTTCTGCCACTACAAATTCGCTTACCTAACACAGGCGTCGCCCGTTTCTCATCACGTGGACAGTGGCTGTTCATGGTCACATGATTTCGAAGAACGGGTCGGAAGATCAATGGACCGTTTTCACAGGCTGGAGATCCGTCAACTTATGACGTCGGTTGTCTGGAATGCCCCTCTTGGCAAGTTGACTGTTTCCGTCCAAGCTACTGGTTGACCCCTCGTGGCTTTAACCTTCCGCGCTTCTAATAACACTGAAACCTCCAGCTGACGAGTCCCTTGTTTCAATTTCCAAGCACATCGAGCAGATCTACAATTACGTTTTCCTGGGAACACTGGAGATGATTGTGGAGGGGGACTGATCAGCGACCCCTTATCAGTGGCGAATTATGACAGGGGAAAAGGGGTTCGGCATATGGGCATGTCAAAAAGCTTGAGTTCTAAAAATGGGTCTAAAAGCGAAACCCAATGGTGCATCGCAGATTGCACTTTTGGTGTTGTCGATGGCGTTTGGGATGAAAAACGTAACCCATCGATGCACAAGCAGGGCAGGCTTTTTTCTCTCTCTCATCTCCCTTGTTGCTCTTTGATGTAGATACGCGCGGATCTTTACCCCTTGTTAACTTGCTCTATGCTATTCTGCCAGGGCATGAGAAAACAGCCCTGAAGGAGTTGTCACGAGGTCCATGTCGGTAGCGGGGTCATGGCCAGGTTGTGAGGTTGGTGACAAGAACGGCATGGGATGTGTGATAAGAGAAGTGACCAAGATGATGACGGGCTGTCACCCAACCGTTCCAAGGAACAACAATGGTGGTCGATTTGAGGGAGAAAGTGGCTTGACTGGGCCCAATATAGCAACCACATGTTATTGAGACTATTGTAAGTGTCCAAGGGAGAGGCCGAAATATCATGAGATTTCAGGGCTACAAAGGGATATTTGAACCCATCGGATCGTTCCCTTTAGCATCTTAGATAGGAAGCCCAGGGCTGACATTCGTATTGTTGGGTTTAAAAGTCCCTTGAATGATGACTCTCAGGTCTGGTGCCTGACTTGCATGGACGAGAGTCCCCTTGTCGAGTGCATGCATGGGCAGGATTCGTGCAGCCCGGTACCAGACATACGTAACATACAATGCAGGATCATAACATGGATAACCAACAGAACATCTGGAAGGACGAGATTTTAAAACGTGGTCACCTTGTAGGCCGACCCTTTTCACTCTGCATTGCATTACATGTACGGCATCTCGATGTATCTACTCGTTTCATCCCTGACAAGCAGGTTTTTGGTCTTGACATCAACAGCCGAGAAATGTCGTTCGTTGGCTCAACTTGGCAGAGCGTCAAGGTCCCGTGGTCAAAAGAAGTGCAATTAAATCTCTCGTCCCTGGCAAAGTAAAGAAAAGACATGGAAGGTAGTGGATATTTCTTTTTTCTGCCTTCCGTGCGACTCACGAAATTGCCCCATACTGCGCTGTATGTACGTGCCTTTAGTTCTAATGATCCCGTGCCTTGATCAAAGTGCGCTGATCCTCCAAAAGTTTGAAGCCCAGCTCTAACTAAAGCCACCTACGCCGCTGTCAGCCCCCTCCCACCCTTCCATGGTCACTTTGTTCATTCCTTTAGATATCGTATCGTCGTCCCCTCTTCTTCAAGTCCCGATTCCCAAAAGAATCTGACTTGTCTCCTTTCCCCTCTCCCTTCTCTTATTGTTCTGTTTCCGTTCATCTCGGCAGACAATAGACGAATAAACAACACTATCTTGGAAACCCCCTGCAAATACTACCTTTAAATAGGTAAAGAAGCGAGCGGCATCCAACGAAAAAAAGCAATAACAATAACAATAGCCTTTGGTACCTATCGGGTTTCTCGTCTCCTTTCCACTGCACGAATACGCTGCAGCCATACGGTACCAAGGCCGTCTCAGCCCGCAATCCATCCATTCATCCACCCGCCATTGCCTCGTCAGCTTTGCGGCAAAAGACAGAAAAAAAGATCACTTTAGGTCTTCATCAGCTGGAGACGTAACTCTCGGCACCGTCACGCGTTTCATCGACGCTATCCGAAAGATCAGACGGCGGCGGCTCAACGGGACAATCCCAACGGCAGTACCGCGATTAGCACGTCTCCAACCTCATCCACAGCGACCCTTAGCGCTGGCCGTTGCGGGTCTTTGTTTACGGAGGTCCCCAGTATTGTACCGGGAGCTACGGGTTTACAGGTCATTAGTCTCAAAGGTTTGTGCAATCATCCAATATTCAATGTTTCTCCCACTTCCCAGAGCAGCCGAGGCGGCGGCAGGAACAGAAAGCAGATACAGTAGTCACAGAGTCTCAGTTCCGCACAGCCGTTTTTGCTTATTTCTTCTTCCTCTCCCGTTCCCGTTCCCGATTTCGACTCGTTCCGTACTTACCTACTTATACCATCTCCCCCGGCCTATTGTCCCACTCCTCTCGCTTGTCGAACTAAGATTTGTATTCCACGACCTCCGTTACTGACTGTACCTCGTTCAACAGTCTACCAGACGACCTTTTGCACCAAAAGAATCTCTGTCGTATATATTCTACCACTAAACACCAGTGTTTATAGCTCACCACGTGAGCTAATCTATCAGTCAACATGAGCCTTGCCGAAGCTGCGCCCATCGCCCGCGATGTCCAATATGACGACCAGCGATTAGGTGATTCGACGCCTCGCGCCAGCGAACTCAACAGAGAAACGGATAACCATCGCGAAGACACAAAGAAGGACGGAAAGAGCAAGATGCGTGGCTTGTTTGGTCTTGGTAAAAAGAAGTCATCGTCCCTCATGAAATCTGATTCGAAAACCGATACCAACGCCAAATCTGAATCTCGCAACGAGTCTCAAACTCCCTCCAACGAAAACTCCAACCCCACCAGCCCATCTCTATCTCGAGACGCTTCCAAGCTATCCTCGAACTACCCATCACGATCCCCTACTGGCGAGCAGAGTTTTACTGTACCTGCGTCCCCGAGTCGCGGCTTCACGGGCTCTCCGCGATTGTCCTCACCAGCTACATCACAGATCTTTGAGCGTGATGTCCAGGACAGCTCCGTCATCTTGCCCAACTCCCCGGCCATCCCAACGCACATTCAAACCGAGAACTATATTCCTCCCGTCCTTGATGATGCGTCCGAAGCCATCACGAACCACAAGCTGGACCCTGATTCGGTCGAGATTGTGACTCACAGCTCGCATCAACCCGCCTCAGTGACAGTCACAGGGGCCAGCACTGGTCTCCCCTTGTACGATCCCTCTGCAAGTGAGTGGGCAGCGGAACTCGCATCGTTTGCGGACCGGGACGCTGTTTCGACGGACAACGCTTCCAACTATGGATCATTGGACTCTGCAGACGTCCGCAGGCTATCCTTCATCTCGTTCGCCGACGTTGTACAGGCTGAGCACAATCCTGCTTCAGGTATTGCGGGCTCCCGCGACAGCATCCATCTTGCGGGTCTTACATCTCTACCCGCAGCAATGAACCGCTCACCTTCGCCCATTCGATCACCTGTATCGAGCCAAGGACCCGAGACAAGCCCCCCTACGAGCAACCCCGGCAGTATGAAGGGCATTGAGATGAGCCCCTCACGAAGACCACTGGGTAGCCCAACCAGCATCAACAACCTCAAGCTTAACGTTTCAGGGGGCGATTTGAACATTGAGACAATGAGCCAGGCTCTGCGAAGAACTGGCAGCACTGATCTCAGCCATGTTCGAAGCGGTCCTGCAAGCCCAATTGAGACCTCCCACCTTCGTTAAAGACAACATTTAGTATGATTCAATTAAGACACTTGGCGAGTGAGAGCAATGATGATATCCACACAGCAAATGCAACACTTTTTCCTCTATTTCTTTTCTACCATTTGGTGATTATACTTCTTCACTTTATTCGATTCGACCACGATACCCTCGGGCATCGTCATTTTGGGGGAATGGGAACACTGGGATTTGGCAACTGGGAGTTTGAAGAGAAAGTTCTACTAGGCGTCGAAACTTTTACGCGATACAGGCATTATGTATATATGCCATGCTTTCTTGGCCGCTGTTGTCTTCTTTTCTGATATGAGGAAAATACAAAAAACCGCCACGAGTTGGCAGTCGAGTATTGAACATGGAATTTGATGTACCCTTGTTCATCGTGAGTGACCTCCAGTGTAAGAAGGTTCAGGGTAGCAGATGACCTCCCAATGTCGCACCAGACGGAAACGCGGTCAATGGATGTTATGTGTAACTGTCATATTTGACTTCCGATCAAGGCAACGTCTCCATACACAAGACGATCACAAACGACTATGCTTGCTTGACGAACCAGTTCTGAAACGGCGAATGTATCTGTTGTGACTATGAAGAAGACGTAAGCGCTCATATAGTGCAATCACACACGCATCAACATGGTGGGTCTTTTCATCTCATGAGTGGTTTTGATGGAACACGACATGATCATCACGATAAGCCCTTCGCCGACGGGTTCCAGAATCGGAGAGTGCAGTGGAGGTTTCAATAAGAAACCACGATGGATACAATACTACAACGGTGGATCTCGTAGACGAGATTCTTTACTCAATGCAGATTCCTACAACTGATGGCGTGGCACTACATGAGACATGGATGTTTTGGTATCAATCATGACGACGGATATATGCACGGGAAACACAGACAATGTTTTGGTTCAGCCATTGATTCTACATTGATAAGAAGCGGTGTGCTTGTGTTGCCCGGGGCGTTGCTTGATACGGCCTCATGAACTGATGATGTTTCGAGAAGACTCTCAGGTCGAGTGATGGACTGTGCTTGAATTACGGAGGCCGCGAATGGGGACGCTGCCAGGCAAGTTTGTATAGAACTTGGGAACAAACCAATTTCGACTGATTGGTATCCCCTGCTGCCACTAACAGCCCCGACGTGTTGAGAGAGTTTCCAGAAGCATTCGGCGAGCGGATGTGATATGTGATTGATGATTCTCGTATAAGCGAGAGGCCCTCTACCCAATTTTGTGACAAAGTATGTCACATCGCGGCTGGGATAAAAAAGAAGAAAAAAAGAAACGCGATGAGGTCAAATTTCACCAACGACAGGGTCTGAAGTTGACACGTAGGATATGGAATCTTGCGTAGCCAAAAAAAGCAAATAACATCTATCTGCCTATGAAGATCGAGAGAGGCTCTTTTGCAGATGTTACATGCACGTGCGAAATGTACGTCCCACGCCGGCGGGACGGGACAAGAGACCCGCGTCGATAGAACCAACAGCCTTACCTTTTGGATGTAACTTTATTGGATTGGGTACGTATGCATACAGTCTTGTTTGGCCACTACGACTGCGAGAATAGTATGTACTAGTATCAGACTAGGAGGATATGGATACGTGCAGTATTATGCCGTGAACTCAGGGGCATCAATGTCATATCTCAGCTTATTCCCGGACTCTGACATGAATATCAGGGGTGGAATATTCTAGGAGAAGACCGTATCAGCAACGATGATAATACGTTCAAGTACGAATAAGATACGCTTTGACGACTGTCGTATCATTTGCATCCAGAGGAAGATGGGAATCATCTCTTGTTCTTCTTCGCTTTTCTCTAAACCCTGCCAAGAACTGTTGGCCTCAACAAAGAGATGGCCATGTGGGGGAATCGGGCCTCAAATCTTAAGTTTCTCAGTGATATATGCCAGGAACACGAACACTATCTATCGGCCGTCTAAAAGGGAGTTTTGGGCTTAGTTGGAAGAGAAAAACCAACTTGATTTGATGTGACTTTTCTCGTTCCAGCTTCCCCGTTGCCCTTCCCCCCTGGTCTGTCTATTTTTTGTATATTGTCGATCTCGCTCTTGGACCAGTCAGATTTGAAAACTCAGGAAAAGAGAAGAAATGTGACAAACTAGGAAATTCCCACTAGCGGCTGCTCAAGTTTGAGTTGCGTAGATGCTAACAAAGCAAGTGGTATCAGCCCGTTTGTTCGTTCGCTGCGGGCAAAGGATGAGACATTCCGGGTGACATTCCGGCTGATTATTCCCATCCTACGCCCGCAAGTAAGCTGACAGTTTGACGCCAGGAACTAGAAACTCCTGAGCTCCTTTCACTCTTATTTGGTAGTTAGTAGCTAAAGCTTGCAGCCTTTACAAAGGAGTGATCTACAGTTCGAGTCATTCATAGCTATCTCAGATGTATGCGTTCAAGCTAGCGAACGTTGAGATTGTATGGTAATGTGTAGTTTGTACTTGCGATGTGCCCTGTTCCTAGCTGGGCGGGTCGTCCGGGATAAGGGTATCCAGGTGATGCGTTTTCATCCCACAGTACCGTGGTCGAGGTAGCTGTTACAGTCGCAAACAGAGCCTTTACTGGAAAAGCTCATCCGCGGGCCATCCATCTCTTTGGTAGAAAGCACCCGAAAGATCCTTGTTTCTCTGGTATTTGGGATGGGTCCCTATTGACAGGGACGCCGGGATTTGGTGGAAACACTGGGCGACTTGGGATGAAACTCGAACAAGGGGATGTCGTGCGGCGCTGTGTGATGGTGATGGTGATGATGGTAGATATCAATGCAGTTATGTTTGTGTATGTAAAAACCAGTATGATGGATGTCCCCAGGCCACCAGATGGTCTGTTGGCAGGTCATTAAAGGGATAAGGCGAATACGTAGGTTGGTGCCTTCGTGTCCGGGTGAGCTATCAGGTAGTGGAAAGTCCGCTCATCAGCTAAGCTGGCTGACTGTAGGCTAGCAGCTAGCCTGCCTTGGTAGCTAATGCACCTGTAGCTAATGTTGTAGAGATCCGCTGCCTCTCTAAACTCCCCCCACTCCTCCACTGTTGCGTGCTGCGTTGCGTGCCCATAACCAGGATCATGAACTAGGACCAGAGCCCAGGATCCCAACTTACAGGGCCTGTGTGTTGTATTGTCTTAGTTTTTTGTTTTTTTTGTTTAGCATGACAATGATCAGTCATGCTTTAACTTTTTTTTTGTGTCCACTTACTTCGGATCCTATCGTGCACGATAAATTACCGAAAAGGGAAAATGCAAAGAGTTGGTTGAAACAGTCTGTAACTAAAATGTAGGTCGTCGGTTGTAGTGCATGTAAGATGATGTCCCCTTTTTCTCGCCACGGCCCGTCCTGTCTCGGCATCTTCCTGCAATTAGAAAGAGACAAGTAAATAAAATGATTGGATGCTGATGCTCGCCTGCGATCTAAAGCCGAAGAAAAAAAGGTTGCATGGCTGGCTGGGGATCGGCAGCAAGAAAGAAGACAGTTGGTTATTTGCTGAAGTCCCCGCTTCTCGAAGCCGAGCCAAGACTTTGAGAGAAGCACAAAGAGATGAGATGCAGATTTTCTTGGATAATTAATCCGATAGAGGCGCAGAAAAAAAAGAGATTAATTGTCAAACCTGTCAAAACCCATCAACCTCCGGCAGTTGTTCGAGATAGAGTGCCTTGTACTATAGCCTAATAAGACTCTTCAAGGTCATCCCTCCCTCATGGCCCCAAGAAAAGATACAAAGACCCCTACTAGGACAGCATTCAAGGGTGGCTGGTGCTGGAAAGATGGAAAACAAGGGCCTCTTCTCGGCTACGCTTAAGCCTGAGCTTGCGGGCAGACAAGGCGAACTCATTGGTTCTGTGCCGAGTCCTTGGGTCTATATCCGTAGAAGTGACATGACATTGGAGTCCTGTCTTGACTTGACATTGAAGAATATACGTGCGTGGCGACGTGTTTTCTCTATTTCTCATTTCATTTCCCTTCAAATGCACATACGCACCTTGAGTTGACTCACTGTGTTGCAATCTCTCCTGTTTCGGCTTCTCCAACCCTCTGCTTGTACTGTCTGTCTGTCTGTACCTTGCATGAAAACACAACCTCCAACTCATCTTTCGACTTAACTCACCGCAATTCGATTCCTTTCTAAAGACCTTGACAAGTGTCTGCCTACCTGGCTCACTTGTTCGTTGTCTGTCTGAGCGCAACTACGCTTATCGTCATTCATACTGGTCTTGGGTCTTGAACTTCTGTATTAGGATATTTCTTCATGTGTGTATGTATTTCTTGGCTTCTTCATCTTTTTTTCCCATTCATTTTCCCTTTCCGACTGGTCTGTTTGGTTTTAGTGCCATTTCCAACATGTATGTTGGTTCCCCCCCTCCCTCCAATGCCTTGTCTTGTCTGCGTCTGCCCGACCCAGTCCAGCCGAGTCTAGTCCACTCCAGTTTGCGATTCGATTCTTTCCATGCACAGACTAACAAGCCTCCCCGCAACCAGTGACTGATTTATGAGGTCTCTCTCAACAATCGGTTCCAGCACCCGGAGACATTCACGGTAGTCGCACTATTTGGCCCACGCCGACGATAATATTCGCATCACCATCATTCGATACCGACCCTCATTGAGACTGATCCCATCGTTAAATCGCTTCCCCTCACCCGCAACAAAGAAAGCCCTTGAGGCACCCCAACCCAGCCTTAGACACCGACCCTATTAGCGAAAAACCCACTACTATTGCTGTTTCTTTCACCTCAATGCGGGACGGGCGCGTGAATGTGGATGTGGACAAGCAATGGCTTAGGCTTGCGACCGCCAAACATGGACGAACAAGACAACTCTCGATCTGGTACCTCCAGTGATACCACGTCCTGGAACCAAGCCTCAACCTCCGACCTCAACCTTCCCCGGGACCCAAAGATGGAACGCTCAAGCGCCTCCAACCTGAGGTCTGCCTTTCGAAATACACTGATAAATGCCTCTAATACCGTTCGCTCCGTAACTCCAG